ATTGATGGAGAATGTGTTGTGTTTGAAAATTATTCTCCATGCAGAGAACCATTTAAGCATAGGAAGGGTTCTTTGAGTGTTCATGGTTCTATATATTTACTAAAGAACCCTTGAAGAACCATCTTTCTTTAGAGTGTACCCTAGCTCCCTACACAAAACCAAGAGAAAAGGCATTCAGAAAAAGAAAAAGGCGCCTATCTCAGTGACTTAATAAAGTTAAATACAGTCTAACAAAGTTTGACAAAGTGAAGAATGCTGGGTTGGTGTATCTGCAGGTCAGCTGAAGCTGAGAGAGTCCTGAACATTTCTATAAGCTGTGTTATTGGTCCTCTTACAGTGGAAGGTGCCCCCTTGTGGCCAATCACAGATCTGCACATACAACAGGAGAAAAACACAGAACAGCAGCAACAAGCACATGGAAGGAACAGCACACCCAGGGGTCACTGCATCCTGAGAAGAAGAGAAAGCTGGGTTTATTATAGATATTAGTGACAAAGGTCAACCATTTTCTCTTCAAGCTCTAAGCGTGTGGACATACAGGTTATTATATCATAAATTAGATTACTGCGTATCTAATATCAATCAAGTTATATAAGAAGTTTCAGTCAGGTTTTCATTCTAACCATAGTACTGAGACAGTATTTGTTCGTGTTGTGAATGACCTCAGGCTCAGTGCTGATGCACAAAATCCTTCTATTCTGGTCTTTTTGGATCTTAGTGCAGCTTTTGATACCATTAATCAAAAGATTCTAACACACTACTTTGAATTCTGGGTAGGCCTCTCAGGCACAGTTTTAGAATGGTTTAAATCATATTTAATGCAAAGACAATTCTCACTTTCACTGGGAAATTATACATCGAAGATATTTAACAATTTGTGTGGAGTCCACAGAGTTCAGTTTTAGGGCCCTTGCTCTTCTCTTTGTACGTGCTACCTCTAGGAATTAGGAAACAGAAATTTTCATAGCTATGCTGATCACACACAATTATACATTTCCATTCCTTCTGATGATCAAGACACTGTTTACAGGCTAACCAGCTGTGTTTAAGATATTTCTCACAAAACTTTCTACAACTAAATCACAAAAAAGACTGAAATACTGATCGTCGGTAATAAAACTCAGAGAAAGCTGCCTTATGAGAATCTTGGCTCTTTATCTTCACACACCAAACCTGCAGTAAGAAACCAGGGTGTGATCTTAGACTCTGTGCTGTTTTATCTGCATGTAAACACAGTCACTAAAGCAGTTTTTTATCATGTGAGAAATATCAATAAAGTTCAGTGACGCAAAAAACTTGATTCTGCGTTTGTTCAGCAGAAAGTTCAGAGTTCAGAGTTCAGAGTTGATCACTGTAATGATCTTCTTACTGGAGAAAACAATCCATCCTCTACAACTCGTACAGAATGCAGCAGCACTGATCCTCACAACACCAACACACAGAGCTCAGATTACCCCCGTTTACACACTGCACTGACCGCCTGGATCTTTTAGGAGAGATTTTAAAGCTCTGCTGCTGATTTTTAAAGCTCTAAATGACCTTAAAGCTTCTGAATGTGTGTCTGTTTATGATCGAAGATCTGCATATACTGACCTTCTGCAAACACCTTCAGTAAAATACAGAAAACGTGGACAGACTCTGTCAGTTATTCTGCTTCTAAACTGTGGAGCTCAGTTCACCTTTTATTAGACAGTCAAGCTCAGAGCTCACTTTTAATAAACATCTGAAAACGTAGCTCTTTAACCTGCACTTCACTGGGTTCAGCCTCTTTGCTACCTAATATCTCTGAAAAACATCTGGCTGTTTTCATACTCAAAGTAAAGTCAAGAGGCTTTTATTGTCATTCCATCTATGTACAAGTACACAGTGGAGTGAAATTATATTCCTCCAGGAACAAGGTGCAACATGGAACAGACATCAAATAGCATCAAAATAGACAGTACCAAAGTGCAAACGTGCAGACGTAAGTGTGCAAAAAATTTAAACTAGAAACTGTACAATAAATATGATAAATAAAAGACATTAGACACAGTAAACAGACAGGACAGTGCAGCACCTACACAGCACTCATTTCTGAGCACGAGGTAGTGGAATAAGGTGCAAAGATATTTAACATGCTGTGATCTGTGAGTTTATGCAGTCAGATAACATGCGTGAGCACAGTAGTTCCTGAGGTAGGATATACACAGTACTAGAGTAAACAAAGTGTAAACACAGTCTTAGCAGCGATGTTCCAGATAACGCAAGTAGAGCATCAAAAGAGGAGTGCGTGTGGGCGTGAGTGCAGAGTATGTGTGTGAGGGGGTATTCAGTTCAGTCCATTTATTGTTTAAAGCATGCACCAGAGTTTTTGTGATACTGTATCTCTTTCACTGGTTTCTCACCTCAATGGCTTAAATTTTAATTAAAAAATTTGACGAAACATTGAAATTACACATGCAGTTGTTTGTTTACTGGTTCGAAATTTTGGGCTGTTACTCTCACATTTTCCAACATAAACATAGAAAATAAAAACTCTCCATCCTGCTCTTTACTTCCTGCCCTCCATCTGGATTTAACATGTCATCAGAATCACATGACCGCAAAAAATGTCCAAAACCCAAAAGACAGAATTTGGAACTAAATGTTGGATCCTGGAGCGTTTCTGCTCATTTCTGATCCACAGTCGTGGTGTTAACCCTCTGGGGTCTGATGTCATTCTCTCTCGATTTGTTTATATCTTCTTAAATCCTCCTTTAATGGCTCTTAATATAACTTTGGCAGCTGTAAACTCTCTGCACACCATTTCACATGTGTCTCCGCTGTGGACCGAATGAAGAATGAAGGGTTTCCAGCGTGATGGTCAGTTCTTAATGATTTTCTGAGTGTCCATTGGTTCTATTTCACACAGAATGTAGACGGACACACAAATCCACCAGTTCCACACAGTGAGAGGCAGATGACGTGTATCTCAGCCCCTCTTCATAGCCTCATAACTCCGGATGTGAGTCATGTATGATCTCGTGATACGGATACGATGGGATAGAAAGGGCGACTCTACAGAATCAGGAAATGTTTGAACTGTATTTCTGTGCTGGATCATCACAGAGATACAGACACAGATAAAGAAACAGAGAATTTGATGAGCAGGGGAGTTTGTGGACCCCAGAGGGTTAATATTTTCTTGTCTTGAGCATGTTCCGGCTTTGTGTGCTAATAAGAGGACAGATTTTAAGCAGTATGTGCATTTCAGGTGCCTTTTTTGAAGAATGTGAGGAGAAACACTGTCAAAAATCATGACTGCAAACGCGAAACAGGTAAAAACAGCCTGAGGATTGGAAAACAAGGAGGGAAAGATGAGGCTTTGTGACAAACATCAACAGAAATGAGTCACTAACTAAGCTTGGGGGATGAAAATGTGACCTTAATTTAATTCAGGACCTTAAATTTCACCACAATTTCATTATTTTGCTCTGAATACACAGATGTAACTGCTGGAACTGAAAAAGAACTGTTCCAACAACCGTTAAAACAGAAAGAGAGAGGAAAAGAGAGATTCGTGTCCAATTTCCCTCAACAATTTGCTCCATAATAGCATTTTGTTAAATGCTGAGTCTGTTATGAAGGATGAAAATAAACTGTTAGTTTCCTGAGCAATTTTCAGTATAATTTACTCACAGAAAGCATTTAGAACTGAAAAACACACCCAGTTTATCTAAATGTGAATGTATTTCTCAGTGAGCAGTTAAACTGAGAGCTGAGCACTGAAGGGGGTTATGAGATATAAACGCTGAGGGTCTTCTGTCTCTCGTCTCTAACGCTGCAGTGACTTTCAGCGTGACTCAGCATCTCCATTATGTTCCGATTTGTTTTTCCACCCCCGTTTCTTTCCATCAGAACAAACTGCAGTGATGCAGCTCCCGGATCTGAGCTTTCAGAGGAAACAGCAACTTTTAAGTGGCGGCTTTTTTGGCTCTCACAGTGAAAATGCATTTACAGGCATTTAAGATGAACAAGCTACTGTCAGAAACGCAGACACGGCCTTCACATCGCACAGAGTCTGCCGTGTTGCAGAAAATGAAGAAGAAAAAAACATGTATGTATGTAGCTGTAATAAAGGAAACAGATGGAAATAAACAGTACTGACTTCTGTGATCTCCATTGTACTTTACATTAACCATGTACGTATGCAGTAAGACACTCACACACAATGTATTTCAAATAAACAAGACATCAAATCATAACTGCACTTTAACAGAGTATCCATACCTACAACACTCGCTTTTGTCATGTTAAAGGTTCATTTGCTAATATTTAAAATTCAGATACTGGAATTAAAATTTATTTTAAAAGGTATCAAACAGTAAAAGTGCTTTAGACAGGATTTTGGCTGTTTTCATACATTTTCAAATAGATTTGATAAATACATTTACATACATTTATTTTATGGTACAAAATGTAATGTGTAATAAATTCAAGGGTTCTTTAATAACGAAAATGGTTCTGTGTAGAACCATGCACACTCAAAGAACCCGTTGCATGATTAAAGGGTTCTTTACATGGTGATATGTTTCTTCAGGTTGATGAAAAATGTGTTTTATATGGTTCTATATAGAAGCCTTTTGAAAAGCGTTCTATATAGCAGCAAAAAGGGTTCTTCTGTTGTTACAGGCTTGACATTGTAGCAATAGAAAAACACGTTTTGGTGCTGTATAGAACCATATTCATCTTTAGCACATTCTCCATCAATCTGAAGAACACTTTCACCATACAAAGAACCATTTAATCATGCAAAGGGTTCTTTAAGTGTTTATGGTTCTATATAGAACCATTTTCTTTACTAAAAACTCTTAAAAAAAACATCATTTTAAAGAGTGTATTGAACACTGAGGCATTAATAGAGATTGTAATAAGCTAAATATTGGGATTCAAGAAAATCAATAAATACAGTAAAAAAACAAGCCCATTTTAAAAGCCAATATGAAGTGGAGAGGATGATGGTGCTAAAAGACGAAGTGTGAATGATATTCTGTATTCAGTCCCACAGACAGAGTGAGAGTGGACAGCAGTATGGAGGGCAGTGGCAGCGACTGGCTGGTCAGCGTGGAGCCCCCTGGCGGTCTCGCGTATGAAGTGACGGTGGATCAGAACAGCTCGGCCAATCAGAGTTACCCATTTGCGGACGTGGAGCTGCTGCAGGCGTTTAAGCCGCTGATCATCCCCTGCTACGTGCTGGTGGTCCTGGTGGGGTTTTTTGGAAACTACCTGCTCATCTACGTCATCTGCCGCTCGCGCAAGATGCACAGCGTCACAAATTTCTTCATCGGTAACCTGGCCTTCTCTGATATGCTGATGTGCGTGACCTGCGTGCCCTTCACGTTGGCCTACGCCTTCAACCCGCACGGCTGGACCTTTGGACGCTTCATGTGTTACCTGGTGTTCCTAATCCAGCCAGTCACCGTTTACGTCTCCGTGTTCACTCTCACGGCCATCGCAGTGGACAGGTCAGTCTGCGGCAGGAGATCTACATAATGTAAATAACTTCAGTATCACAATCAACAACAAAGGAATTTCAGTGTCACAATTACAATAAAATAAATGAAAGTTAGTATCAGGATAACAAATATAAAGGACTTTCAGTATCACAATTACAAAAAAATGAATTTTAATATCAACATATCAAAAATAAAGGAATTTAATATCAGAATTAGAAAAATAACAATTTTAGTTCCACAATAACAGGGAGCAGGGCTAAACTGCTGTAGGCTGAATGGGTGGGGCTAAATTGCTGTAGGCGGGTCTAAACGGCTATAGGCTGAAGGGGTGAGGCTAAGCTGCTGTAGGCTGAATGGGTGGGGCTAAACTGCTATAGGCTTAAGGGGTGGGGCTAAACTGCTGTAGGCTGAATGGACATGTAAATGTGTCTCAAAAACAGTGAATTTAAAACAAGTGAAAAAAATGAAGTGAAGAAAATGAAGTGAAGAATATGTGGTTTTCCGTGATATGGGGCCCCTCGTTTGTCAGGGTGAATGTTAAAAGAACCAGAACTAAATTGCAGTAATGTATGGCTTTCAGCTTTGATCCAGACCAAGAGAACCAAAGTCCAGCTATAAATATACCCTTAAAGATGCTCTCCCCCTTAGCTTTAATGGACACAGAGTCTCTAGTCAAGAGAGAAGAAGCTTCTCCAGTCTAACTCTATAGTCCTCCTGAAGGTCTTGATCTGTGAGGGCTCTGCAGGTTAAGAGGAGAACATGAAGGAAGGAGAGCTGGGGGTAATGTGGGCCAAGTTCCTGAGATGAAAAGATTCCTTGAAACTCCTGCCTGCTTTGAGAGGAACTCTGGAAACAGGAATCTGAGAGAGGTTGTGTGATGAGCATCATCTGCTCTACTCTCAGATGGGGTGGGGCGGTCACCATTACAATCCGGTGCAGAGGATTCAGTCTCCCAGTTCAGCTTTGAAGTGTGCTTTTGAAAAATAATCAAACTGATTTTCTCCTCTGTGGACGTCAGAATACCAGCTGACAGTTGAGATCAGTAAAATGACCTGAATAAACTTCATCTCTGGATCTGCTACAGTCCACTTCAGGAGTAAACACACTACCCGTCACCTAGCTTCTTTCAAAATGTTTGTTTTATTGTTAGTTTCCAATAACTGGCCACATTGAAGCCTAATCAGGTTTATTTAGAGGAAAACTATGGACGCTTTTCACATTTCCAGTTCTCGCTTCTGTCGGTTTCTGTAAGCAGGTCATTTAGTTTCCAGTTGAATCAAAACAAATGGCTCAGTCCAGCTTTAAGGTGTTTTGCTGTGTTCCTCAGAGACACAACCCCAAATACAAACAGCCACAAATTTTATAAATTTCCCACAAAGCACATGCTAAGATCAAAATGGACCCAGTCGATCTGAAGAGTAGAGGGCCCTAATTTTAGAGTAAATGCTGACGTTCATGTCTGCATCCGTCACTTTGCTGAGAGCGCTGTTTATAAGACTCCTTCTGGTAGATTCATGCTCAGAAGTGTTGCTGTACCCTGCTGTGTCCTTTGGAACAACATTCAAAAGCCAGAGATTTGAGATTCTGTTTAATCACGAGTATCCACATGGCTCAGAACAGATGTTAACAGCCAGGATGAGGAAAAGAAGGAAGTCAGCTTCTCATTTAAATTTCCTGTTCCACCTTAAACGATGCAGCAGTCACCTTAGATGGCATGCAGGCGCTAGAACGTAACTACAGCACCATTTAAGGTAGAACAGCTCTAAAAATAAAAGGATAGTGGGTCACTGTTGGCCCGCTGATGGCAAAGCTGACAGTTCACTGATGTCTTGCAAAGTGCTTTCTGGGCGCCCCTAGGGTTTAAGCAGAGTGTTCAAAATTCCACTTGACATTGCTCATTTTCCACTTACAGTCCAATTTACTGATTTTTTCTTCCTTCATTTCTTTATTTATACTTTGCAAATTAGTTTAGTTAATAATCTTAATCTAGCTCAGTGTCAGCAGCAACATTTTCTATAAAATCATTTCACATGATGCCAAATCATTATTTTTTTCTTCCCTTAGTTATTTGTAATATTTGTCTTAGTTTATTTTCTAAAATAAAAGTCTGTGTGCATTTAAAATCTGTTTGAGGAGATTAAAAACTAGTTAGAGCTTGTATGCAGGACAGTAATCTGGGTGGTCCGAGGGTGGACCGGCAGTGGCAAACAGTCAATGGGGTGCCGACCTTATCAAGCCAGTGGCCCGATACATGTTTCCTGACTGGGAGAATATTTGAATAAGAAGCCGACTATAAATTATAAAAAATAATCATTTACTGATTTTATGTCTGAAAGTTTATTTAAAATTATGTTGCAAAATAAAGGCAACTTTGAAAGTGTTCAATTCAATAAAAACCTTTGTCCCTAAGTTCTTACTTCCTCAAATGTTACAACAGAAAAAACAAAGGACTTTTATTTTGACATGCTTTTCCAAAAAGGGGTCAGTGTCCTACATCATAAAGAAGACCCCCAAGTGACCTTCATGGATCAATACCAAGGTCACAAATTTAGTAAAAATTAGATTTTGAGTTGTGGTTAGAAAGGTTCAGTTCTTGACCTCAGGAGAACCAAGAAAATGTGGAATTATTATAATAATGTTTATTTATTTATTTGAAAAATGTGAGTATAAACTAAAGTTGAAGGACACAGGTTTTTACGGTTGTCTAAGAAGATGCCTGTTTAATTTTAAATTAGTCTGAAAAGTCAGGCGGCTCAACCAGTCAGTCAGATGGAGCAACCAGACCAGCACAGTTTAATAACTGAAACAGGCAGTTAAAGCTTTGATAACACTCACTGTATTTAAGATAGAAAATGCACAGAGACATAAATGCAAATATATATGCAGATATAAACATGCACTGGTCCAATAAATTAGTAGATTAGTGAATTAGATTTGTTGCACCAATTAATGTAAAAAGTAAAGTGGCCACTGTTATGTTAATGCTTTGATTATGCATGAACGCTACAGAGCTGGATAATGTCATGACAGATGCCCTTATATTTGATGTCATGACAGCTTATGTTTGCTATATGTACTGTAGTTTGCTGTCACAACATCAAACATTATAACATCTTTCATGACAACAGTAATTGTAACATGACACTGCTACTTTACTAAACAAAATCTGCTATGCTATGTTTATGGCACAGTTCACCGGTGTTGAGCGACAGAGATATGGTGAAAAAATGTGGGTACACTTTTCAACCAGTCAGTCTGGTTGCATGGTCAGTACCATAATTGTGCTGGAAACCACGACAAACAGGATTCTGGACCTCTAGCAGCATACAGAACAGAGAATGCATGAAAACTGGACTAAAATATGTGTGGTTTCTTTTTATAGTCTAATCAGGTTCTCAAGTGAACCCAAAGTTTCCATTCGTACCTCATTGTTCTGAACAGACTCCTGCTGTCGCCCCCACAGGTACTACGCCACCGTGCACCCTCTGAAGAAGCGAATCTCCATGGTAGCATGTGTGTGCATTCTCTCTGGGATCTGGCTGCTCTCCTGCGTGCTAGTGGTTCCGGCCGTGGCACACACCTACCACGTGGAGTTTGAGGGTGAAGATCTGACTATCTGCGAGGAGTTCTGGTTTGGTCAGGAGACCGAGAGGCTGGTCTATGCGTACAGCACCCTGCTTGTCACCTACATCCTGCCGCTGTCTGCCGTGTGCGTGTCCTACCTGTGCATCTCCGTTAAGCTGCGGAACTGTGTGGCGCCAGGCCACCGGACGCGGGACCAGGCCAAAGCGCAGAGAGCCCGAAAGCGGAAGATCTTCCGTCTGGTGTCTCTGGTGGTGGCGGCGTTCGCCGTGTGCTGGCTGCCCATCCACGTCTTCAACGTTCTGCGGGACATTGACATCCACCTCATCAATAAGCGCCACTTCCTGCTGATCCAGCTGCTGTGCCACCTGTGCGCCATGAGCTCGTCCTGCTGCAACCCATTCCTCTACGCCTGGCTCCACGACCGCTTCCGCGCCGAGCTGCGCAAGATCTTCACCTGCAAACACCGCATCGGCATCTCCGCCAACCACTGCACAGCCGCCAGCGTTGTGCTGTGAACCGGAGGACGCTAAGACCAGAAACGGAAAACTCTACCACTCAAGAGACTTCAAAGACTGAATTCTCCAATGTCATTGGGGCTCATCCATAGCAGCTTTGTAGAAAAGACAGTGATATGCAGGGTGTAGATCCTCGGGTACAACAGAGGAGAGAGAAAAAAGTATGAAGGTGGGAGCACCATGTCCCGAAACACACTTCAGTGGGGGCATCAAGCCTCAAGATGGGTCACATACTCTGGAAAATCGATTGCGTTAGATGATCGAGTAGCACTTGATTATGTACAAATGACTACAGAAAAAAATAAATGATGATATGAAGACATAACTGAAGATATACATGTTTTCAGGCCTATTTATTAATGACATAATGGACTGTTAGTGTTAACCTTTCTATGTATGCATGACTATTTCCGTTTTTGACTTTTTCCGAAAAGGACAAGAAATCATGAGTTTTACACACACACAAAACCTATTACCATACAGACACAATAGCATGTTGCATAATTATAAGAATACTTTTGTCCAGTTCTACTTAATATTAACATAAACACATTAAATACTGTGGTCTTCTTCTTTTTTATTATTATAGTTGGAGTACAGGACCTCAAAAGACTCATGTCTTGCAAGACCATGATCTGTTCCATAATTGTTTTACAATTGCTAAACTAGCTTAACTGTGAGGCAGCGCTAACCAGCTAGCTGTACAGATACATTTCTGTTCAACATCATCACAAAGATGCGCAGCAACCACAGAGAAGATGATTAAAGAATGTTTAATATCACATCCCTTTACCAAAAACCACAGAAGATTATGGATCCAGGCCAAAAGAGAGCTAATATCTTGAGGTAATTGGTGGTCCGAGCTACCGAGGCTTCCAGTTATCTGTGCCAGCCGTTTTCTCACTGACCCAGACCGAACAAGCTGTCGTGTCTCATGTCTTTTACAGTATGTTTACAGAAGCTGTCAAACTCAACTGTGGCAGGTCGTAAAGTAACCTTGTTGTTCACATTTTCACTTCAACTTAGCTTAGCAACTCTAGTGGTACCACCATGCTCCTGATACTGTCAGATAAGGATAGACAGACTGGACAAACAACTAAACCAGCTATGAAATATGGGCAAAATTCATAGGACATGGGGGCAAGCTATGAAGGTTTCTGTGATGTGGAGCTCCTGTTAGCTTAACATTTAGTGAATAGCAGACTTAGCAGGGTGTTTATAGAGACCTGATGATCTGCAGATACTGATAATCAACTATTGTTAGCCAACGTTTTATGTTAGCTAATGCTATATTAATATGCAAATGAAAGACAAACAGATTGAACTCTGAAACGGCATTTTATTATTGTGTCAACAAGAATTTACAAATGATGTGAAATCTACATAACAGCAGTTGACTGTTACAGTCTTGTGACTGGCTAAGTTTTGCCCCCTGGCTGCGCACAGAGTAATATTTGTGAACAGGAAACTGATTAACTGATTAGTTCCAGTCTATAAAGTACCCAGTTTCTGTACACAGAACAAGGACACAAAGAAGGTTCACATCTGGCCAGTTGTGGTAGAAACTGACCAAAGTCTATGGTCAATTTTTGATCTCAGTGCATCCTGAAGATTAGTGCTTACACTGGTGGACTAGCGGCTGATTTTAGCGAAACATGGTGGTGGCAGAATCATCATAACGAAAGCAAACTTTCTGCCAAACATACATTGTTATGTGCATCTTGTTTATTTTAATGCAATTTGTGCTCTGAGCATTTAAATGTGAGCTAATAATAAAAAATTCATTGATGTTCTGTTTTTCTTACATGACTGTAAATAGTGACTAACCAGCTACTAAAAATGAACTGTTGTGCCTTCAGTGGAGATTAGAGGCTGAACTCTGCAGCTGTCTCTGTTTTCAGAACTCAAAGCTGAGAGATTTTGTGGAGATAAACAGAATCTGTTTGGATTAGAAAAGCAGACAGAAGACTGCAGGTTTGGGAAACGGATTTAAAAAGCACAGAGAGATTTAGAACACAGTCCTCACCTTCCTCACTCCATCTGTCAATCCTTCCTCTGGAACTTCAGCTAGAACTCAGCAGAATAACGTTCTGTCAGTGAGACTGTGTGAAGTTACTGAAGACATGGACAGTCCTGGAGCAGCAGTGTTGTCTGGAAATAATTATGTTCTCTACATCTGGAAAAAACATGATTTTTCATAAATGTTTAGTGGAAATTGGACATTACACGACTTCAGATCTTTTAAAGTCTAATCTAATCTAAAAACTAATCGCTGTGATAAAGCCAAACTCCACAGGTCAGTAGAGAGTAATGCGCCCTTTCCAACAAGTCCCCAAACTGCATTGCTAGCCTTTAGAGAAGCGGAGATATGGGCCCAGAATCCTGCAAATTTGTATTTTACGTAGGCGCACCCTAAGCAGCCTTGCTGAGATGCTCGTCCATGGTGGAGGTCCAGAGAGTCAGAGAAATTTTGAGCAGTAGCTTTGTGAAAATCAGAGTAACTACTTCAAACTGTACAGGATTACAAGGTGTTATGCTCCCTCTCCAACCATACAGGACTTTTAATTGTCATCTTTGGGAAACAGGAGAGAACAATGTTTAATATCTGATCTTTGAAGCTCAATAGATTGGCAGAGGAATGTTAGAATGAAGCCACTGTGGAAGAAACTCCACAGGTCAGTAATAGCCTTCAGGAAACTGGAGATATGGACCCTGAAATCACCAGGTTTCTCACCGGTTGTCTTCTCTGAGTTGTCCATGGTGTCAATCACGTGATCAGTGACTAGTGACATGAAGATTAAAGCGTCATCACTGAGCAGTGAAGTTGATATGTATGTGCAACTTGTAGTAAAAATGCATGTTCACTGTTCACCGAACACTGACATAGTTATATTTTGAGCATTCTTAAAAATAAAGATTTTTGGTTGAAAGATGTGTAACTGTCTCACAGTGTACGTATTACACAATGTAACTCATCATCACTATCACATTAATTTATATAGTGCCTTTCCCATGCTCATGGACACTTTCCAATCAGCAAGTATCAAAATACATAATCAACAATACATGACACAGAACACACACACACACACACACACACACACACACACTCCACGGTTACTTAGCTAGCCTGGAAAGAGTCCTTAGCCGTGGGGGAAAGTCTCACACTGCAACTACAGTACATCACACAGGCGGCTGGCCCAGGAAGCCTCGAAGGCCGAAAATGTTCTCAGCCATGAAGGGGTGGCGTTTTCCTGCAGCCGAACCCCACCAGTCCAGGCAGCTTGATAGCTGCAATGCAGCGTCACCCAAGCGGCTGGCCAAGGCAGCAATGTAGCTGCGATGTAGCACAGCTCATGCAGCTGAACACTACCAGTCCAGGCAGCCCCTCAGCTGCAGTGCAGTGTCAAACAAGCAGTCAGCCAAGGCAGCGATGTCATGTCATGTCAATCAGGTCCCCAGTCCAGAGAGCCCCGCAGCTCATAATGGAGCAGGACTGATGGCAAATCACTCAAGATATTTATTCAATAATATTTTAGCTGTGTCCAAAACTGAGCCCTGTTCACTCTACAGTGCAATGTCCGAAAACAGACGATCCAGTGCACTCAAATAATCCCACAGTGCGCTGCAATAAGTAGTGTACAACCAATGAACCTTAGCGGACAGAGGATGCCTATAATGCACTGCAAATTTGTATAACCTTAGTGTCCGAAGTCGTTTACTACCATCACAAATTCTGTTCCCTTTGATAGTGATTAGGGGACCGTTTCAGACACAGCTATTCAAGCCTGTTTGATACTCGTGTTTCAGTTTTATACAGAATCTCATGTTGAACATTTACAGCACAGACAGCTTTAGTGAACCAAATCAGAATTGACAGACACCGTCACGCAGCTTTTCCTGGGCTTGCTGGAGATGGATTGTACCTCATCTCAGGAGGCAAGGAGGGTCCTGCTGAAAAAGGACCATTAGAAAATATCAGGATTAAAAACTAATGGTTTTGCTTTCTAATAGGATATGGCTTAACTTACACTGAGAGTAATGAGATTTCATTCCAAGCTATTTTGTAGTATTTCTATTGATGGAGAATGTTTTGCATGTGGTTCTATATAGCACCAAAAAGGGTTCTTTTATTGTTACAATCTCAAGCTTGTGTACAATGGAAGAACCCTTTTTGGTGCTATATAGAAACCTTTTCAAAAACGTTCTATATAGAACCATCTACAGCACATTCTCCACCATTCTGAAGAACACTTTTACCATGCAAAGAACGCTTCTTGTAAAAGATGGTTCTTCGAGGGTTCTTTTAGTAAAGAAAAGGGTTCTATATAGAACCATTAAAACACTTTGTCCATGCAAAGAATACTTTACTAAAAGAACCCTCAAAGAACCATCTTTAATTGTGTAGTGCAGATTAAACCAGTTGACATTAAGAGCCCTGAGTTTCAGAGTAAAAAAAAAAACTGGCTGTATTTCAGTTATTCAGCACTCTAATTTCCAGCGTGTCTATCTTATTTCTGACCAAAACAGCTTGAACACAAATCGTGTTTACGACCTCCGAAGTCATGAGCAGGAACTTCAGTGGACGATCTGAGGGCAGCGTTAGGACCACAGACAGGAAGTTTCTGCAATACAGCCCTTGATCTCCTGACCAATCAGAACACTGACTGATACAGCAGGCCAAGGGCTGAGAGCGAGAGAGAGATATTTATCAGACGAATAAGTGGAATGAGATGAGTGGCTCTGTTGCCATGGCATCACTCTGTTAAATCATATTGCACTTCTGAGCAGGTTATTTTTCTACAGGATGCAAATAAATGAAGACAATCGGCGTAATTAAAGCAGCTGCCTTATCAGCCTTAGTTTAACCTTTAAAACTAATTAAGCAATGAATAAATAAATGGCTCAAAGTAATTATTCTTCTTATGAAGGGCAATACGTTTATTCTCAGGTCAGAAGGACAAAACCAGCCTACACTCAAAACAAGTGGGGCAAAAATAGAGAATCATTTTCATAACATAAAAAATAATGAGGCTAGGACTGCATTAGCCGGGATGCATCTTTAAAATAACTTGTTTTTAAGAAGTAGAACTCAGTAAAGGACTTTTAATTTGCAAATGCAGCAGTTCAGGATGTAATAAGTGGAACTATATTAAAGAAAATGTTGCAATGATGCCATACACCCTACAGACTATACATAACTATAGACAGATAAAATGAAAGCTGTCAATGTTATTCGTTTAATAAGGCCTTATAAGTGGACTTTTCAAACTTTTCAAAATTCCTGCATAAATAAATACTTAAGATGTGAACAGAGTCTCTAGAGAAACTTACCGAGTCAGAACTGTTCATAGTGGTGTTGATGGGAACCAGATGTTCTCCTCTAAAAGCTCCTTCACAGAAAGTTATCACTTTAAATGATTATGAATACACTGTCTGATGTCTGAGTTGTTGTTTTATGATAGTTTTAAGAAATTAAAACCCATTCATGTTGGAGGGATACATAATATGCAGGCCGTTATGAGGCAAAATAGTCCCCCAAAAAACTGCGAGTGATATGAAGAATGGGCAATGTATTTATTAACTAATAAGGAGGCTGTACATCATTTAATCTGTGATTCTAATCTAATTAAATATAAAAAAAAATAGATACAGGTTAAAGAAACACAATAGCAGCAGCTTCTAAATACAAACACGAGAAGATTTTTTCTTTTAAAGCACATTTTTTAAATCAATTCATGGTGGAGGGATACATGCAGTGTGTTTGGAGGCAAAAACAACTTATTATTTCAGATTTTCCACTATTTCCCCATCATCAACATTCTATACAAAACTCAGAAGACACGTGTAGGTTCACTGGTGGTTTCAGATGGTAAACAAAATGTCTATATTTGTGTTGTAGTCATGGCGACCCCTGGTTCCTATCACCACCACTGTAAAGAACTCTGAACCATTTCACACCAAACCACGCCGATTCACTCTGTTTCACATCTCACACACTCAATTATGCAGAAACTTTATGCAGATTCTCCTTTCAGTGCCTTTTCAGTGCTTTGTTTTAACCCTCTGAAAGGCCAGGAGACGCTGGCAAGTGCAGGCATCTATGGCATGTTTTCCATATATTTGCTGTATAATAATTTTGGTTCTGATGCTACTGACTTACTACTGTTATTACCTGATAATAACAGAAAGAAGCAGGATCAAGACTCTACCTGCACTGCACAAATTCTAGTAATTATAACATTATAATAATGTAATAGTGATTGTTTTTGAGAGTGGACAGTGCCGAGTGCATTTTTCTAATATTCAGTAAAACTCTCAGTATTAGCCTCACTTTGAGGGAACAGTAGCACAAATAACAGCAACAAAAAAATGAATGAAAAAAGTAACAACGTATCTTATTACTATTATTATTAGCTTCACAGATCAATAAACAGCCCTGCGTGGAGAAGAAATCAATCCTCATCCTCCTTCAGCTTTTTCTTCACTGCTAAATATCTCCTGACCTCCTCCGGCGAACGAATGTATGCTTCTATTTCACTGTCCGATATCTCTTCATAGCCCGTCACGGTCAGTTCAGGAGCATCCACTCGCGGCCGCTTCTCAGTCCTGACCGACGGGGGCAGGAACAGGTGCCTTTTCCCCCAGTGCTCTTCAACAGCAGGGGGTACACTTTTCCCTACAGTTTTGTTTCCACATTTTAGTTCAGACTGACCAGATGTCTTTGAAATATCATTGTCTGTTCCTGACCGCTCGTTCTTTTGGTCCAGTCTGCTGGTCAATAAAGGCTGGGACGGTGCTGCAGGGTTAGTGACGGGCAGCTGGTCAGCTTCATTAGCGGCTGTACAGTCAGAGAGATCCGGTTCTGCTTCCTGTTCATAGCGCCTCATAGCCTTCAGCATCAGAGCCTGCAGAGAACACATGAACACATGAGCTCTGCTTTATCTGCATGTAAACACAGTCACTAAAGCAGCTTTTTATCATGTGAGAAAAGTCACTAAAGTTCAGCCTTTTCTCTCTCAGAGTGCAGAGAACGCAGAGAAACTTCTTGCTGTTCAGCAGAGTTGATCACTGTAATGATCTTCTTACTGGAGAAAACAATCCATCCTCTACAACTCGTACAGAATGCAGCAGCACTGATCCTCACAACACCAACACACAGAGCTCAGATCACCCCCGTTTACACACTGCACTGACCGCCTGGATCTTTTAGGAGAGATTTTAAAGCTCTGCTGCTGGTTTTTAAAGCTCTAAATGACCATAAAGCTCCTGAATGTCTGTCTGTCTGTTTATGACAGATCTGCAGATACTAACCTTCTGCAAACACCTACCATAAAATACAGAAAACGTGGAAAGACTCTCTGTTTTTCTGCTCAGTTCACCTTTTATTAGACATTCAAGCTCAGAACTCACTTTTAATTAACATCTAAAAAATGCAGCTCTTTAACTCAGTGCTTCATGAAAACTCTACATCTCGCAGGTGTTTTTCTGTATAATCTTGATCTCCTTTCTGTAAAGCACGTTGAGCTGCCACCGGCATTAAAAGTGCTCTATAAATGATGTTTATTATTATCATCAACATCACTATATACAATATGCATCAGGTTAAAATATTTTTCTGATAAGAGTTAGAAGAGATCAGGGTTCGATGGATATGAAAACTGTCACAAATACTGATTTTAAAGGACTTAACCAATAAAACATACAGCACTGTGCATAAGACACTGTAGCACGGCATGTGCTACTCCGCGCTCAAGGAGGACGCTGGAGGCAGGGTTCAGTGCTGCAGCAGCCATATTTTAAGTTCAAACACAAACTCAAACGAAGCAAAGCTATGCTAAGCTGGCCACTTTTCAGTCGCTTTCAACTAATTAGACTTTTCAGTCTTTTTACTCTTTTCAGCTCTTTCTCAGTCTTTTGTCGTTTCTGCTTCTGCTGCTGCTTGTCCCTCTCTCTCTCTCTCTCTCCGCCTTCCTGCCGGCTCTCGGGGCTCGGGGGGCGGGCGTATGCCACAGACCCATACGCCAAGTGTTTAAGACTCATTATCTGGACACTACACATTTTAGATGCCATATTTTTCAGGGACATTTATGCTCATATCTCGTCTATGATCTCTATAAATAACAGCAATTATTAGACCCGCTCTAATGACCGGATCACCTGTCAGGTATGAGTTTTTACTGAGCTGGGAAAATCTGCTTTTAGCTGCAGTGAGCTGGAATTCACTACAGGAGTCTCTAAAACTCACTCATTACAGTCACTCAATCATTTTAAACTTTTAATGCCTTGTCACCATCAGACAGCCTAGAACTGTTTAATTGAGTGTAACTTTCCCTTTCTCCTATTTAATTTTATTATTATTTTATTATGTTTTATTTTCTCAATTATATTACTGTTTTTATTTATTTTATTACCTTTTATAATCCTTTTATTTGACTTTTAAAGTTTAATTTCAATTTATCTGCTTATGTTGAAATCTTATAAACTGTTTATTATCTAGGTTTTATATATTCTCCTTCTTAATTAATTAATCAAATCTTAATTGTTCACTTAATTATTCTGCCATGTATCTTCTCTTGTTTTTGCAGTTAATTTATGTAGTTCTGTTCATTTTAACCTAATTAAACTCCATTTTAGTCACTTTTTCAATCCCTTTAATGCTGTAAATGCTTGACTACATTGAAAATGAGCATCACCCTCAATACATTTCTAAGTGAAAATAAAAGCCGATTGATTGATTGAACATGATAAACACCAAGAAACATTCTGCACATGTTACAGCAGCATGGCTGAGTAATCAGAGAGTGCGGGGTCTAGACTGACCTGCCTGTCTCTAATTGTAAACGTGTGGCACATTATAAAGTGCAAAATAGATAACGAAGGCCCCGTACATATGCACAGATGAGCACTTGTATAACAGAAGAATGGCAAAAATGATGCTTTCAAAACTGGATCAGTTTGTTTTTTCAGCCTCCAAATGACTATTAAGTGCTGTTAAAGTAAAGGTGATGTAACACAGGGATAAACATGCTCCTCCTAACTTTTTTAGAATGTGTTGTGGGCATACATATTTGCAATGAGTGGAAAAAAAATCTCAACAGTAACCTCTAATAAACTGGCAGTATTTCAGTTATTCAGCGTTGCAGGCTAAAATCATCACACAGCAAAACAGAAATATAAGAAGCGCATGTTATGTGACGCTAATGTGATGATGAACATTACTCGTCTCATAAGCATCCTCTGCTCATCATTTTGTTGCAGTATTGCAACATAAACGGAGCCATAAAAGAACTCTTTAATCATGCAAAGGGTTCTCTGAGTGTCTATGGTTCTTTATAGAACTATATTTTCTGTACTAAAGAACCCTTAAAGAACCATCTTTTTTAATTGTGTAGTTTTTGTTTGGTGTTGATAGAGCAGGTAAAAACAGACAGGATTATTCCAATTTGATATAAATATCATATTTAATAGTGTGTAAAGTAAATGGGACGGCGCTGGCACCACTGCCACAGTTACAGAGGCCAGTGAGAAAGTCACACAAGGCTGCAGGACCTGCCAACGCTGCCACCAAGTGGACACAAAAGGAACCTCACACCAAATGCAGTCCCGTGATGTATCCTGCACCACACCCCACCCCCCCACACTGTCCTGACTTTTCTGGACCTGGGTTTGTACCACACTCAGAATTGGGACATCTCGTGATGATGATCTCTTCCTACCTGCCGATGCTTCAGAATGTCATCAACCAGCCTGGTGACAGTGCCAGGCTCCACAGCGTCCCCTCTTAGCCAGGGCAGCTCCCTACCCAGCTTACACAGCACATCCCTGAGCTCGCCGATCCGCTTCTGCACCGTATCCTTCCTCTGCGCACACGCCTCCTTACTCAGCCTGCTGATCTGACAGAACTTATTCAGCGTGCATTTCATACGGGCCTGTGAGGCACACACAAACACAACAGCTGCAAGGCGTTAACAACATTACATACTGTGGTTTTACTGCGATTATACTGCTAAATATTGTGATTACAGTAACAATCAGGAGTGTAATTATGCATTTGGATGCACTGATGGTGATTCAACTGCATTGATTTTAAATCATTTGTAACAGCAATTAGTAAAGTATGACCTCATTGTGTATGATGTATGTTTTAAAGCGCTCAGCATATTTTTTCTTAAGGGTTGTGTGAAGCTGAAAGTGCCTTGCGAGGTTACAAGCAGTTTCATTTTGTCTGTCGCAGATGCTCCACTAATGCAGGTGACGCTATGACATTTTATAAATTCCATAACTGCTGGTAAACGATTTTTTCACAGTTCTAACTGCGGAGATGAGCAAGCCAACTTCAGCCTCGTCCTCTGGTGAACTTAAATATAAGATAACCTACATGTTGTGGTGCTTAATACTAGTTAGTACTGCTGAATAACAGACTAAACATCTTACATTCAGGAAGTATTCATAGTATTCATTGATTATTTAAAAAATGCATGTTTAATGGTGAAATATTGGTGCCAAAGCGCTCTGCAAACTTCTTGCGAAACGAAGCTACTCAGTCACCAATCTTTGTTCAATGGCACACCTCTTTTTTCTGAGCAATCACAGGCTTTGTCGTGTAGTGTTTTCATCTGCAGAGTTGCCCAGCTGTCATGTGTGTGACACGGTGAGCGAATCCTCCACACGACGCCTGCGGTTGTTTGTCTTCTCCGCAATTACGTCACTGTTCGCTGAAGTCAGGCAAATGTCTCCACAAGAAGCACGCTGAGGCCTTAATACTGCATGAACAGCTTCTCCAGTCACATTTGTGTATTCTTATTTTCAAAATAAGGCCGTTTATCTTGGACAGCCTTAGCATCATATGTGAACACATCAAATTACTCAAATCCCTCTAAATGGACCTTCAAACAAACCAAATTTAGAAGCGTCTCAAGATGGCTCCACTTGACTTTGTGGTATGTATTATGGTTAATAGCCCAGCACAATATTTTTATACTCAAAATGTAATATTAGGAGGAAGTGTGTGATTATTTTCATACTTTTTTCACATTTTCATACATACTGCGCACACGCACACATTTTCTAAGCCGCTTATCCTTCTGGGTCATGGGGGTGTGGGAGCCAATCCCAGCAGTCACCGGGCAAAAGGCAGGATAGACCCTGGACAGGTCGGCAGTCCATCAAATGACACTTACATTGTTTTATTTGCATATTGCCCCTAACCACCGTTTAGGAATTACACTTTATTTGTCGTGGTCTTAGACATCATAGATAACACTAATTGAATACAGCGAATCATAAGCTACCTTATATTACACTGTATATTAACTTATATAACACTCCATTTTAGCGTCATACAAATAGTTGTAATCTTTTACTCTGTGTTCCCTGAGACGATAACTGAGTTCAGCTCATCTAAAAAAGAACTATATGTGAAAACTAAGAGTGTTTTCACACTAGAGTTTATTTCCAGACCCAGGACCGCTTGCTCGATGAGTTTGGTATGTTTGGTCGAGTGTGAAAGTTGTGAACATGCCCGGGAGCTGAACAGAGCACCGACCTCTGGTCCTCCTAAAAGCTCTCTGGTGGGTCTGCTGCACGTGTGGAAGCTATCCACTTCCGGTGCGGAGTGTGGGGCTGTGTGCTCGGTTCATTTTGCTTTGAATTATCATGTCACTCCCCTTTTTGAGTGTTGTGATTGGGGAGACCTTTGCTGTGGACAGAAAGAGCTGCTCTTAACCGCTTCAGTGTTTGTATCGAGGGAAAATAATAAAAAAAACAACAAACAGATCAAGCTGTGCCGACTACTCTGCAAACCTGGGTATGGATCCACAGATTGGATGGAATTCTATATGTGAAAGCCAAGCAGCATTAATGAGTCCCTTCCCCAAACTAGCCCAGTATCCGTTCTGAGTGTGGACTTCAGTATTCAGTAAGACAGCTAAACTAGTTCTGACCATGGTTAATTGGCCTATTCAGATCATGGTTCTTGGTAAAGCCTAATAAAGACTGTTAAACTCACCATGGGCTTTAGAGACTGCCAGGCTACATAAACACAAGCCATAAGAATGGGCAGGGGGTGCCGGCCGGTCACCAGCCACGTATCAGCTGCCAGCTCTACCAGGGCGGCGCTACGCTCCACCAACCGCCGGGGGGGCTCCGCAAAGACCTCAGACACTTCACCAGGAGAGAGCTTATACCTGAAACAAAAATATGCCGTTAAACGACGTGCTCCCTTACCCGAAATATAGCCAATCAGACATGTTTGTATCTGAAGCTTGCGCCTTTAGTTTCAGCACTGGAGCTATGAGGCTAATGTAGCTAACAAGTAATGGAAGCTAATTCCAACCAATTAGCATGCATGTCTCAATCAGTGTGGAGTTGTTCAGTATCTCTAACAGACTTGATTATGTGGTTTCTGATACTGTATGACTCACTGTTACCTATAAACATGGACTAAACATGGCTCAAACACCAATAGCAATGATTTTTATTCAGTATTTGGCTCTAAATCCAGTTAAACGAAATTAATTTTACTATAATTACAAGTACTGATGATATCCACAGTATATTCAGAAAAGCATATTGTATTGTGACATAATCTATCACCATAACATAACATAAATACTGTCATATTTCCCAGTCCTACGTATACCTAAACTTAGTAAATACTTACATTATAACTGGCATATGACTGAACCAAAAAATGTCACTCCAGTCTTTCTGGAAGTTCTAGATACGACTGTGAATATGAGTCGTAGTCTAAGCAGCATTACAATTAGTTGTTAGGAATGTAAAACAGCAGCGGCAGCTCTATACAGAACACTTTACTAACAGCTGGGATAGGCTCCAGCACCCCACCGCGACCCAGAAGGATAAGCGGTTTAGATGATGTATGTATGTATGTATGTATGTATATGTTTCAGATGTCCTTTTTAAATCTAGGACTGAGCTAAATGTTCATGTGCACTAGTGTTAGCGCCAACATACTATTAGAAAGCCCATAGGAGTTCTAGCTGGAAATTAGCAGGCATTTTTGTTGCCCCAGTTTTGACAGTTATGAAGGCTGAACTGAAGGATCTAATAATCACAGTTCACAACTGGGACGCTAACATTACTTGTTAGCTACACTAGCGTTAGCTACACTAGCCCTAAAACTGAAGAAGCAAACTTCAGACACCAAATGTGTCTTGGTCGCTTTAAGACAGACTGTTACTAATAAGCTTCTCTCATACCCGTAGCAGTAGCTCTCCAGCATATCGCTTATGCTGGTGGTTGTGGGTTCGATGCTCAGAGCCTTGATCAGATCCTGATAAACCATTCCTATTAAAGCCGAGTCCGCCTCCAGCAGACTGCTGATGGTTCCCATAGCGATGGGCCAGTTATTCTGCCTGCAGGTGGCCAGAACACAGCACCCACCCAGAACCTCCTTCTTCATTAGGCGGACATGTATAAAGGTCGGGTGGTTGTAAGCACGCTCGAAAAGGCTCACTGCTCCTGACTCCATGTCGCTGGATAACCTGAGGATCCGGCACAGGGCCCGAACCCGGCCCAGCCCTGCAGTGTGTGAGAGAGAGAGAGAGAGAGAGAGAGAGAGAGAGAGAGAGAGAGAGAGAGGGGGGTTATCTTTTAAGTCCTTATTCAATGTTTTCTATGATTTTCTGTCATCCTTTTTTATTTTTTTTACTGCAAAGTACTTTGAGCTGTAATTTAAAGCATGCCTTCAAGTAAACCTTCTGAGCAGGGACAACTGGTGCTAGAAAAGTTGCAAGTGTTTAAAAAAATTTTTCAAAATTGCATTTTTGTAAGAAATTGTCCATCATATTGCTAATAAAAGGTCCCATAAAGTGGACCAATTTAATTCTGAAAAAAAGAAGCTCTAAATGAACAAAAGCTTTGAATTTCTAAGCTTGTTTTCTAAAATGTACAGATAATTAACTTTCTCCTTAATAATCCAGTTTCTCCACAAGGGGGTGCTAATTGTACTTGTATTTTAATCACTGAAATAGAGGAAACACACCAGCAGGAGCTCACAAATGCACAGATATTTGGAGTCCCACCTCCCATTCATTGTGGAGGGATACATAATATGTAGGGCATAAAGAAAATTCCCATCATCAACATTCCATATAAAACTCAGAAGACACTGGTGCTTTTGGAAAGTAAATAAAATTTCTATATTTGTGTTGTAGTCATGGTGAGCCCTGGTAAAGAAATCTGAACCATTTCACACCAAACCACTCTGAATCATTTTGTTTACATCTCACACACGTGAAAATTACCAACAGTAGCCATGAAGAATTACATTATATATTATATAATATCTGTGATTATTTTATGCACTTATGTTTTCATGTTCTCAATGTTTTATGCCTGCCTTAAAGTTGCCCTGTAAGGACAATTAAAGCTTTATTGGCCTGAAGTACGCTGAATGGGACAGCTGGGAATATCAGCATTGTCAATATTCACTCAGCTTACCTTTAATGAGATTTGCACATGGTTTCTTGGTCACTTCTGTGCTGACGTAATATGGGACCGCTGTACAGGAAGCAAAAAAGGAGAATTATTAGCAATAAAACAAATGTTTATGCAATTACAGTCATTTTTTTTATTTATCTGGCTGCAGGTTTCCTGATTACTTCTGCTCTGCTGCTCGTCGCTGAGTGTGGTGGTGAAAACTCCCTCTGAAACGAGAGAGCCACAGTCCTCACAGACCCACTGCTTCTGAGAATATAAATCATCCTCCACCACGTTACTGGAGCCGCACTCAGGACAGGAGCTCGGCATCACCTGCACAACAAACACCTGTGAGACCCAATATAGAACCTCTGTCTCATATTATATAGCTGTGTTGCCTTTATAACACTTTATACAGAGTTTCAAGACAATAAATTGCAATAAATACACTCAATTTAAAAATAAACAAATACAGTCAACCAAAATATAAAAATTTCCACACTAAATATGTACACTAAATATACAGAAATAGGTATATTTCATCTTCTGTTTTTATGTCTATAGTCCTTTCCTATTCTTGCTCATAAAATCCCCCATCCTGCATATTTTAATGTTTTCTTGCTCTAATATCACCTGTTTTTTTGTGAAAGATCAGTTTTATTATGCTTTATTATATGTAGAGACCATTCAGGGGAATTTTCCAACACTTGGCAGCAACAATGCACAAAAAGAGAAATAAGCAAATTGATAATAAGCCAAATAATGTAACTAACAACATGGAAAAGAGAAAAGTAAGGAGAAAATGAGATGAAAATGTAACATAAGCTTAGTAATCCCCTATTTTAAAGGGTATTCCAACAATTTTCACATTTTCTGTATTATACAGTGATTAAAATGTAAACAGAGTCATTCAGAGTGGTTTGGTGTGAAACGCTCTGTTCTAGAGAAACTTACTGAGTCAGAATTGTTCACAGTGGTGGTGATAGGAACCAAACCACCAGTGAATCTACACGTGTCTTCTGAGTTTTATATGGAATGTTGATGATCGGAAAATAGTGGAAAATCTGAAATAATAAGTTTTCTTTAGGGACTATATTGCCTCACAACAGCGTGCATGTATCCCTCCACCATGAATGGATCTGAAGTTCTCAAAACGATCATAAAATAGTCTCAGTCATCAGACAGTGAATTCATAACCATTTCATGTAATAACTTTCTGTGAGGGAGCTTTTAGAGGTGGACGTCTGGTTCCTATCACCACCACTGTGAACAATTCTGACTCTAATACGGAGTGTTTCACACCAAACAACTCTGAACGACTCTTAAATATGCAGAAGTTTTGGAAAATAGGTGGAGTTCCCCTTTAACCCTGTGAGGGGTCTAATGAGCTAACGAGCGAAGTCAGCGAGCTAGCTTGAAAAAAACACGTAGGTTATTTATATAAACAACCACAACAGAGACATCACAGTCAACTTAAATAAAAAATATAAGCCGCTAAAGGAGAGTTTGATGACTCATTATCTGAGCAGGAATTAGAGAAGCAAGCTGGTAAACTTACCGTAGTGTGTCAGTCTGAATTAGACCTGCAAAAAGCGTTAAATCATATCAGATTCATGAAACGAACAGAAACTCATTTCAGACTCTTTACAAACCGGCACGCTCCGAGTGGAAACGAAGCGCCAAGCAACAAAGGTTCCGCCTGTTGCTGACGACCTGCTCCGACCACAAAAATAAAGTAAATAATTTTGGACAAAATAAAGCAGGACAGTCTTTAACTACGTCACATTAAGCGCTCACAACTGTGTTCAAATGTAGCTTGTGGTCTATAGGAATTGCAAATGCAGCATACATTCCTTGTCCACTTGTACACTCACCTTGCTGGTGCACGGTGACTGACTTGTACAAGCAGAAGGGAAGTGTTTCTAAAGCAAGCAAGCAAAGTTTATTTATATAGCGCTTTTTACAACAGGTGTTTTCACAAAGCAGCTTTACAGAAAAATCCGGGTCCAAGCCCCCATGAGCGTCGCCAGTGGCGACAGTGGCAAGGAAAAACTCCCTAAGAGCAAAAGGAAGAAACCTTGAGAGGAACCAAGACTCAGAAGGGGAACCCATCCTCCTCTGGTCGACACCAGATAGTAAAACATTGTTAGTATAAATTATTATAGTACAAAACGGGGAAAACAGGCGGAGCAAAGGTTAATTAGATTAGTTTTAGTTTATGCAGTAGCATCATCATCGGGAGGGTCAGTTCATGAGGGTGAGGTTTGCACAGCGTTGTATAGCATGAAGCTCAATGGTGGTCAAGTCGGTCCAGAAGGCTGGCGAGCAGTGGGCACCAGATCAAGGCAGAAGAAGCAACAGCAGTCAGTTCTGTAATGAGTGACTGATTACAGTGTACAGTATTAACAGAGTGCAGCAGAGACTCCGGCAGGTCTAGTTATTGCAGCCTTTTACTAAACCGCGTGAGAGCAGCGAGACAACAGCACCAACACTCCCAGTTTACCATAGTACTCTATGACCAAGAACCCCCAGATCTGCACCTTTTATATGACAGGGAAAACTAATGAAGTTACCAAAGGCTTGACTAATCATGTAAGTTTTTAGCTTAGACTTAAAGACTGAGGCTGTGTCTGAGTCCCGAACATTAGCAGGAAGATTATTCCAAAGCCGGGGGGCTTTGTATGAGAAGGCTCTCCCCCCTGACGTAACTTTATTAATTCTAGGTACTAATAGTAAGCCAGCACCTAAGTAGGCGCGATGGTTCATAGTAGGAGAGAAGTTCACTCAGGTACTGAGGGGCGAGTCCGTTTAGAGCTTTATAGGTCAGTAAGAGAATTTATAATCGATGCGAAATGTAACTGGTAACCAGTGTAGGGTTGATAGAACTGGGCTGATATGGTCAAATTTTCTGGTTCTAGTAAGGACTTTGGCTGCAGCGTTCTGGACTAACTGAAGCTTGTTAGGGCTTTTGCTGGATCATCCAGCCAGCAGGGCATTACAGTAGTCTAGCCTTGAAGTAATACATGCATGAACTAGCTTTTCTTAATCCTGTAGAGATAATGCATTTCTCAATTTAGCAATATTGCAGGAAGGCTGTTCTAGTAATATTAGTTATATGTGTGCCGAAGGACAGATCGGTATCTATCGTGACACCAAGATTTTTTACAGATGCACTTGATACAACTGAGAAACTGTTAAGTGTAAGTGTAAAATCAGACAGTTTGTTTCTAGCTGCTTTTGGACCAAGAAGCAGAACCTCTGTTTTATCCGAGTTAAGTAGGAGAAAGTTACTCAACATCCAGTCTTTTATGTCTTTTATACAGTCCTCAATCTTTCTAGGTTTAATTTTATCATCCGGTTCGCTTGATATATATATAACTAAGTGTCATCGGCATAACAGCGGAAATTTATGCTGTGGTTACTGATAATGGTGCCCAGTGGTAGCACATATATTGTGAATAATATAGGTCCTAAAACAGAGCCTTGTGGAACACTATAATTTACTTTTGCGAGGACAGATGATTCACCGTTTACATTAACAAACTGATAGCGATCAGTGAGGTAGGACCTGAACCAGGAAAAAGCTGTTCCTGTTACCCCTACAAGGTTTTCTAGTATATCTAGTAATATAGAGTGGTCTTTCGTGTCAAATGCTGCACTAAGAAGAAAGTGAATAAAAATTTAAAAATAAAGTGGCCAGTTAGTAGAAGCTCAAGGTAGGTTTTTCTAATAAAATGGCCAGTTAGTGGAAGCAAAAAGTGGGTGTTTCTAATAAAGTGGCCAGGTAGTGGAAGCACAAGGTAGGTGTTTCAAATAAAGTGGCCAATTAGTGGAAGCACAAGCTGGGTGTTTCTAATAAAGTGGCCAAGTAGTGGAAGCACAAGGTAGGTATTTCTAATAAAGTGGCCAGTTAGTGGGAGCACAAGGTAGGTATTTCTAATAAAGTGGCCAGTTAGTGGAAGCACAAGCTGGGTGTTTCTAATAAAGTGGCCAGATAGTGGAAGCACAAGGTAGGTGTTTCTAATAAAGTGGCCAGTTAGTGGAAGCACAAGGGGGTGTTTCTAATAAAGTGGCCAGGTTGTGGAAGCACAAGGTGGGCATTTCTAATAAAGTGGCCAGTTAGAGGAAGCACAAGGTGGGTGTTTCTAATAAAGTGGCCAATTACTGGACGCACAAGGTGGGTGTTTCTAATAAAGTGGCCCATTAGTGGATGCACAAGGTAGGTGTTTCCAATAAAGTGGCCAGGTAAGAGCAGTACAAGGTAGGTGTTTCTAATAATTGTTTTTTTTAGTCCTACATTAACATTATAAATAGACTTCTAAGGAGAAAAGTAATAAAATACTCTATTTTGCTGACAGAGCAGAAACACTGTTTATTTTAAAGTGACAGATCAAGAACACAGTCCAGATGAAAAGACACTGTGTACAAATAATCATTCAGTAGTAAATATTTACAGATTAACGGAGTAGGAAATGTGTGATTGATTAAAGTGCTTCATTTGTATTCAAAAACACCATCAGTATCATACAGTAACATAAAAGACATACAGTATTGCACTTAGCAAAAACATTATACAATATGTCAAATAAGAAAGAGGAACCACTGAACAGAGCAGGTACAAAAGAGTGAATAAAAACTTAAGTTTGCTACCAGCAAGCAGTAAATACTTTTGGAAAAACAAGCATTATGAAGTTTATACTCAGTAATATTGTGTCTCACACAGTGCAGCAAGTGCAGAAGCTTTAAGGAATCCAGCCATGATTTTAAATCAGCAGGTTTTAAGTGTGAAGGATCATAAAACCTCCACTTGTACATAGAAACAAAGACTTTAAAGCTTTTGACTTCATACTGTAGTGAAATTCCAGCATGCGTGACTGAATCATGCTGAAGTAAAACCTGGCTGAGGCCAAATTTCCAAAACTCAACGAACCACTCATCATACTCTTCAGCTACAGTGATTCTTTAGACTCATGCAGTGCTAACAATTGTTTTTTTTAAAGGGGAATTCCACTCATTTTCCAAAAATTCTGCATAATTAAGTGGTTAAGACATAAACAAAGTCATTCAGAGTGGTTTGAGAAGAAACTTACCGAGTCAGTTTTGTTCACAGTTGTGGTGATAGGAACCAGACGTCCACCACTAAAAGCTCCCTCACAGAAAGTTATTGCATAAAATGTTTATGAATACACTGTCTGATGTCGGAGACACTGAGTGCATTTACATGCACTTAATAATCCGATGAACTGCAGAAAATCAGATTTTGTCAGTAATCCGATCAACAAGTTTACATGCTCTTGAGTATGACATATAACTGCAGAATTTCGGGTTATGATCGGATTATTAAGTGCATGTAAACGCACTCGTTGTTTTATGATGACAGAACTTAAACTCCATTCATGGTGGAGGGATACATGCATGGTGTTGTGAAGCAAAATAGTGCTTAAAGAAAACTTATTATTTCAGATCTTCCACTATTTTCCCATCATCAACATTCCATATAAAACTCAGAAGACACGTGTAGGTTCACTGGTGGTTTTGGATAGTAAATGTCTATATTTGTGTTGTAGTCACGGCGACCCCTGGTTCCTATCACCACCACTGTAAAGAAATCTGAACCATTTTTCACCAAACCACTCTGAATCACTCTGTCTCACACACTCAATTATGGGGGAATTTTGAAAAAAATTGTCATCTCTAATAAACTTGATTATGTGGCTTCTGACATTGTATGACTCACTGTTATCCATAACGATGGACTAAAGTGCAGACACAATTCTGTAAATTATGTGTTGTTTGCAAAGCTATCTCTTTAAACAGTGCAGGCCAGTGAGCCCCCATAGCTGAAGGTAATGGAGCCCGGTTTAAACAGCCTTCTTCATGGAGTTGATGGACATCAGGATACTGGGGTGCTCCTCCATGACCCGCACCAGCAGGTTATCGATGTACTGCTCCAGCTCCATGATTCTGGAGTCACGCTGGGAGAGCTGCTCCTGCTGCCGGATCACCAGGGAGATCAGCTCAGCCCGAGTCAGCTGGGAGTACGGACCTTTGCCCACCGCCTCTGCAGCCTGACACACAATACACACAGAGTAGCGTTAGCTTTCACACATTTACACACGTTACATAACAAAAATAAATGTCTGAATGGAGCATTTCCATTTTTGGAGGGCAGCAGAGAGTAATGTTTGTTTATTTGATGTTTGTTAAAAGAACACTGCATGATTAAAGAGTTCTTTACATCACGAAAGGGTTCTTCAGATTGATGGAGAATGAGCTGTAGACAGCTTATTCGAACCTGTCTGAAAAGTTGGTTCTTGAAGGGTTTTTTAATAAACAAAATGAGTCTATATAGAACCATAAACACCCAAAAAATCATTTGTATGATAAAAACGTTCTTCAGATTGATGGAGAACGTGTTGCATTTGGTTCTATATAGCACTAAAAGGGTGACGTCAAGCTTGAAACAACAGAAGAACCCATTTTGGTGCTATATAGAACGCTTTTCAAAAAGGTTCTAGTTAGAATTTTACCATGCAAAGAACCATTTAATCATGCAAAGGGTTTTTGAGTGTTCACTGCTCTACGTAGAACCATTTCCTTTACTGAAGGACACTTTAACAACCATAATTTCTAAGAGCGTACTTGTGATATCAAGCTTGTAACAATACAAGAACCCTTTTGGGTGCTATATAGAACCACATACAATACATTCTCCATCAATCATGATGTATAGAATTCTTTAATCATGCAAAGTGTTCTTTGAGTGGTTCTATATAGAACTGTTTTCTTTACTAAATAACCCTTAAAGAACCTTCTTTTTTGAGCATGATTACAGTGGTGTCTCTGAGCTGAAGGGCAAAAGCAGTACCTCTGTTTTGGGCTGCATGCTCTCCGAAGCTCCAGCAGCTTTGCCGTTAGTCTCTCTGAGGTCCGACTGTTTGTCTGCGGCGTTCAGAGGTTTGACTGCGTGCTGTCTGCAGGGGAGTGAAGAACCGTGAGTTAGCACAGTGGACAGAAAAGGGCAACGGCAAAGAGCCGTTTCATTTGCACTCAGTATGTTACCCTGCATGGGGAAGTTAGAAAGGACAAAGGAAAAGGTCAACTTCATTTTCAAGTGAGGTGTGACATTCAGGATGGACATCTCGTTGGTGCGTCACCTTTGTTAGCTGTAAGATTAGGAACATAAACTGATAATCTGGATTTATATGTCACTTCCGTAATAACATCCACCACTAAAACACCTTCTCCAGCACCTGCTGTGGTGTTGATGTGTATGATTAAAATCCACTGCTATTCAGACTATGCTATGTAGGACATGCCTTCTGTTACTTCTGAAAACTTGTGTAGTGATGAGCTGCACGGACACGTTAAAATACGACACCAGAAAATTAAAGGCCTTGGTCAGATTGACAGCCCAAATCTGATTCTTGTCATATCCAGATTGTATCCGGACTGATTTTTGATAGTCTAATTTGAAATCCAATTTGGAGGTGGTTTTAAATGTGACTTCATGAAATGAGTCACTTGCAACACGACAAACAACGTCAAATCGACGTTGGGCTGGGATTCCTGCAGTCTGTACAAAGCCTAATTTTCACAATCAAGTAGGGCTGCTTGATTGGCAAAAATGATAACCATGATTATTTTTGGTCTGTATTGACATCACAGCTATTTAACATGATTGCCTTTCTCGTTCTCTCTTTTCATCATCCTGGCCTGAGCTCAGCTAAACATGCCACAGCTCAGAGCAGTGCTGGGCGCTTAATCTAATTTTACTTTCAGTCGTCAGCCTGGCTGAGACTTAGCTTGGGCTTTTAGGGAGGGGCAAAAGCGCACTGCTGTAAAGGAAAGAGGTGCGCTGGATTCATAACACAAGACAAAACGAGCAACACTGCACAAGTTTTCTCAATCATCTTGGAAGCGAAAATCAAAACTGAAAACAAAATCTGATGAACTGCCGAGCCCTACAATTGTTTAAATTTAAATACAGGAAGCTGGCCCCCATTTCATTTATTAACTGATAAGTTTTAATCAACAATAAGAACTAAACGCTAATCAGAAACTAGAACCACTAGAACCAAGGCTGGATAGCTTTTTGAATACGACCACATTGGGGAGAAAATTGTGGTGGGGGGGCTTCGGCAGATTTTTAGATTGTGACTGTGACTGCGATGTCGCTTCAAGCCTAAACCTTCAGAAGAAAAGCCTGGGTAGCACAGAATGTTTAACTATTAATTTTTTTTTTACTACAACCATAAACTCCATACATTCAAGACATAAAATAAAAATCCTAAAAATGATTATGTGGCTTGGACGTGGAGCAGTCAGGGGATTCTCCGACATGCGAACGAGAAATGGGAACCCGAAAACCTAAAGCAGAGCGGAAACACCTTGAGTGAGGAGAGGAAATGTCCACTGCACTCACATGCACTGATAGCAGGTAAAGTTAACAGGTTGCGGGTATAACCCAAAGTAGGTGCGTGAAGGTGGGTGCAATCGAGCAGGTGCAGACATTAATATTTGAGCCCTTGCAGACCTCTACTCCTCAATTTAATTTTTGCAGAAATCTACAACTGGGCTTCACTCTGATCCAGAATACCAGCCCTTAGTTAGCCCTTTGTGGGTTAAGTATATAATTGTGTGTATAAAGATCAAACCTGGGCCCATATTTGTCAAACCTTTCAGTGCAAGAATGCTGATCTGGGATCAGTTTGACTTTTGCATTTCACTGAAGAGGACTTAAGTGCTATGCAAAAGGCAGATCAGCATTTTGAGGCATGTTGTTTATTTGCATTGCATTTGCTATGTAACAGCATTTGCTCTAGAGAAATGGATAAGTTTGATAAATATGATTCCTGGTTTTTGTTATCTACACTGTATGTCTAAAAGTCTCCAGACACAAATTCTAATTCATGGATTTGGCCACTCTGCATCTGCTGGTACCACTATGAGCTCAAACAGCTCTGTAATCTCTGTAGAAAAGTACTAAGAGTAGAACAGGGCACTGTGGAACAGCCTAAGCCTGCGTTATTGTTCATTAGAGGGGTATAAACCCCCCAGCATTAGGCTGTGGAGCAGTGGAGCTGCGTTCTCTGGAGTACTGGAGCTCCATCCACCACCTTTGGGATGAGTTGGAGTGATCCTGAACTGACCATCCAACATCAGTACCTGACCTACCTAATGTAATGTAAGAGTAGAGGCTGTTACTGCAGGAAGAAATGTCTGGATGAGCAGGTGTCTGGACACTTCGACATACAGCGTACCTAAAACTAGGCCACAGTTGAATCTATGTCACCATCTCTACGAGTACCAATGCTAATTCTATGGGGTTACAGACTGATCTAGAGTCAGATCTCACCTGATTACTGAGGCAGGAGCTCCTCCTGCCCCCTTCACTTCACCTGCACTGCTCTGAGCATCAGTGGGTACCACTCTGGCACACGGCAGTGCCCTCGACCCTGAGCCTGTAGACTCGGAAATGCATGCTTTCATCACCTCGGACTCCTCGGTAAGTGGAGCGAATGTTGAGGATGAAGCTGTAACAGAAGGGTATGTGCTTGACGCAGTGTCCTGTGCCTTGTCTTGGTCCTTCTTGTTGCTTTGGCTCTCTGGAACGCATCCGAGGTTAGCCTCTAAAGTCCTTGAAAGAGAAGGTTGCTGATTTGGCAAGTCTGGGTCTCCAATTCTTTTTGGTTTGCCTGGAGGTAGTGGAGCCTGAGACTTCTTTTTGGCAATTCCGGTCAGCGCTTCACTCTCCATGTTTGGTCGGTCAGGTTCCCAGACATGAGACTCTGGGCACAAATCTTGATCTGCCCATGAGGGAGCATTCAATTCCAGAGATTCAGGTTCATTCATCTGGCTCAGATGTTCCACAATCTCTTCTCCTCTGGGAAGATTGTCAGTATGGCTATTCTGTAAAGGTTCTGCAGCAGTATCTTTGTGGGACAACTCGTCTGCAAGTTCAGGTTTGGTGCCGTCAGCTGCAAGAGACTTTGGTCCTTCCATTGATGTAAAGTTTGAAGGATTATCTTTGCTTTCAGAGTCTGTAGAAACATTTGCTTTTTCTTCAGGCTGAATGGTACCACCTGTTAGACTTGTGCTGTGGCTTGACAGTTCATCTCCAGACAGAGACTTCCGACTTGAAGCAGCTGAGGGTTTTGCAGGTGCTGGTCCCTTGTTGTGCCTGGCAGCCACTGCTCCACCACCACATGTGGAAGGGTTGGTATTAGCTTGTATCTTAGTGGACTCGTTTTGGCCAATCTGTCCTGTAGTAGCTTGATTGTTGTTGGGATCCATTTTTTGAGGAGATGAATTTTGTCCTTGTCTTGCCTTCATGCTCTGAATACACTGAGCCTTTAGCTCATCTTTGGAGACAGGTGCCGCATTGCTTGTCTGATGGTTCTCCAGAACTGCAAGGGTTTCCTTCTCTCCGTGACCAAGAGCCACAGTAGATTCTTTAACCAGCTCTTCTGTCGTTTTCCTCAGACAGCCTGGTGGAAGAGGTGCTGGGCGCTTTGACACTTCTTTTGAGAACTGTTTGGTTTCTTCCATCAGGAAATCTCTGGAAGGAACAGTTGGTCTTGACATCTCTGGCTTGTTCTGAGGAGGCAATGGGGCACGTTTTTTCCTAGCTGTGCTCCTTCCAGCACTGCTGAGGTTCTCTAAACTGCCATCGACTGAATCATCATCGTCCAAGAATGGGTTGGTGTTTGGTACAGACAGCTGAGAAACTGTCCCAGAGGTGGACGCGCTGAAGAAACAGGACGAGGATGAATACAAGAAGCAAAAGCTTTAGAGAGAAAGATTTTCTTTAGCACATTCTGGTTATGAAAGAAAACAAGGTAAGACCTGTAGGTGGTCTCCGGCCTTTGCAGGAGCACACTGCAAAAAATGGTATCTTGTTAAGTAAAATGATCTTAAATCTAGTACATATTTCTAATATTACTATATCAAGGCAAGTTTATTTATGGAGCATCTTTTATACACTGCAATCATTTTACAAGTGCAATCATTTTTTGCTTTGCAAATGAGAAAATACAAAGATAATTAAAATTTAAATTTAAATTTAAAAAGTTGCTGCATCTAATACATTGTCACTCTTCATAAAAAAACAAGTATCACCATTTTTGTCGCTACTCATTTTTTTTACATAATTTGAGAAAATCAACTGTCTTTTACATTGTGTAAAATTTCCAAAATTGCTTAAAATAAAACTTCTTTACATCAACTTACATTAAAAGTTCAGAAGGCTCTTCCTTCTTCCGTAAAGTTGCAATTTTGGACATACTTGTTTTGGACAGCGACGATATTTTGAGATTTTTGTAATCTTAAGACCATTTAATTTATTTCTAGACATTTTTACTTGTTAAGTAATTTTAATAAGTAAAATGATCTCACTACACTGGCAGATAATTTTGCTTGTGTCGAGCATATTTTATACAGCAAGCAAAATTATCTGCCAATAAAGCGAGATCACTTAACTTAGTAAACTCATTTAGTAAGTCAAATGACTACTTGCTTAAGTTTAGTCAGTATATCGAATAGATTTAAGACAATTTCACTTGACAAGATACCATTTTTTTCAATGAACTATTAATTTCACTCTTAAAAAGATGGTTCTTCATGGGTTCTTTAGTAAAGACAATAGTCCTATACAGAACCATGAACACTCAAAGAACCCTTTGCATGATTAAACATTTGCAGGGTTCTCTGCATGGTGAAAAGGTTCTTCGGGTTGATGAATAATGTGCTGTATATGGTTCTATGTGGAACCTGTTTGAAAAGGGTTCTATTTAGCACTAAAAAGGATTCTGCTGCTGTTACTATTTGAGACTTGTCAAAATAGAAGAACCTTTTTGGTGCTATGTGGAACCATAAACACTCAAATGAACCCACTGCGAGATTAAAGGGTTCTTTGCACCATGAAAAGGTTCCTCAGATTGATGGATAATGTGCTGTATTGGGTTCTATATAGAACCTTTTTGAAAGGGGTTCTATATAGCACCAAAAAGGGTTCTGCTATTGTTACTATGTCAGGCTTGTTACAATAGAAAAACCCTTTTTGGTGGTATACAGAACCATACACAAAACAGTCTCCATCAACCTGAAGAACCATTTCACCATGTAAAGAACCCCTTAATCATGCAGAGAGTTCTTGAGTGTTCATGGTTCTATGTAGAACATTTTTTTACTAAAGAACTTTTGAAGAACCATCTTTTATTAAGAGTGTACTTGCATTAAAAGTTGTGAGTACACTATGAAAGTCCTTGATTTGAGACACAGGGACTCTTTTAGGCTGAGGGTCCTCTGAGAACCGTTCGCTATAATACTGTATGGTTCTCATCGCAATAAATCATCTAGTATTTAAATGGAGACTTTTATTCTTGTCCACTCATGAACTGCTGTACAAGTGCATCTGTCTTACAGGAAGGAAGTCTGGCACTTGAATTCTTAAAGCCAAGCAGTGACCTTCCTGCCCACCACATCCCGCCCTCCTACCCCAAGTCAGAATCTGTTTTGGGAGATATCCTGGCTAATAAGCCTGAGTCAGAGAATCACAAGTGCCAAATCAGCTTTTAGCTGCTGGCAGTTTTCCTGAGCTTCCTGTGGGCAGACCTCAGACGCAGATCATTCAGTGAGTGGAAGACAACGAGCACAGAAGTGCTGCAGGGTTAACGACGATAAGGGTTAGCAGGAGCTGCAGAAACAGCAGGCGGCATTAAAAACACAACAGCAAAGAAACGAAAACCAGACAGACATGGGTTGGAATTCCTTTATTGTGATTTGATGTTTTATTTGGTTAGTTGATGATGTAAAGATTCGTTATTTTAATTTCAAAGAACTACGTTAGTCTCGCAGGTCCGGACATGATCTCATAAAGAGAAAGTCTGGGGAGAACCATGAGAAGTTTTGGGCTAAATGTATGAGAACATAGACTTATTAGTGTGGGAACAAACTGAAAGTTCTAAACCAAGCCAATGCCTTGTAGGGGGCACTGGTGCGCTCGTCAACATCGTCTGAGGAATAAGCCCATCATTAGCACATGGAAGTTAGCATGACTGAAAAATCTCCAAAACCTCTTAAAAAAGATGGTTCTTCATGGTTTTTTAGTAAAGAAAATGGTTCTGTATAGAACCATGGACACCACTGCATGATTAAAGGGTTCATTACATGGTGAAAGAGTTCTTTAGATTGATGAAGAAAGTGGTGTATATGGTTCTATGTAGCACCAAAAAGGGTTCTTCTATTGTAACAAGCCTGAACCCTTTTTGGTGCTTTACAGAACCTTTTTCAAAAAAGTTCTATATAGAATCAACTATAGTACATTCTCCATCAATCTGAAGAACCATTTCACCAAGCAAAGATCCCTTTAATCATGCAAAGGGTTTCATGATATTTAGAACCATTTTCTTTACTAAAGAACCCTTGCAGAATCATCTTTTTTTTTCCAAGTGTGTATAGCTAGGTTGCTTTTCGGGGTGTGGCATGTTCTGAAGGGGCATGTCCTTGTTAGTAGCAAAGTAAGTCTTCCCCAGACGTGCATTCACATCGTGAGATCACATCTGGCCCTGCCAGAGTATGGTTAAGGTTACAGTAGCATCATGGTACTACAGGAAATTTAAGATAAGCCTACAGAAAGACAGGCAAGAAGTTCTCACTGCCTAAATCGGAACATGTGACAGAATAAATTCCCAAAAGTCTCTGTACAAAAATAAATTTGTGATTGCAGCTTCTGAAAACAACCTAAGAAGAAGATAAATAGAAAAAGGAATGTACTCTTATAGAAACTGAGTAGTCTGTGCTGTGCTGCAGAGTGTAGGATGGCTATAAACAAATGATTGAAAGTGGCCAGTATATATTATGTTTTTGTTTTGGAATTTTCACATTTGGATTTATTTAAAACCTGATCTATAACACACACCTACAGTGCTTTTAAACACAAACCTTTTAAAAACAAACCTTGAATCAATCACCTAAATGAAGACTTGCTGCCTGGATATGCTCACAGAGACCTGCTGAATATTTCACAAAGGTGCCGAATATCTTCACAGGACACATTAATGAGCCGGTCATGGCAGACTGGTGTTATATAACACAGCTGTACGGATTCTATGACTCTGTGTCTAAGATATTACGTTTACTCGGGCTAAGCGGGCAGAGAGACTCTGAACACTGATCACAAGTAGAGCTGAACGATTTGGGGAAAATATCTAATTGCGATTTTTCTAATATTGCAATTATTATTCATGAGGTTATCGCTGCTGTCAGAACAAAACCTCGTATCTCCAAAAAGGTAACTTCACAGGACGAGGAAAAATGTTCTTAAGTTTAATAGAGGCATAAGGATAAATCATTTTTCCAAGTAATTTTGGACCATTTCTGTAGGTCCATTCATCAAGAAATCTTGACACATCATAAAGGGCAACTGGCCTTTTCAGATTATCTCAAAAAATTAAAAATAGATTTACAAAGTTTTATCCTGACAGCAGTGTTATTAGGGTTTTTTATCAGCCAAGAAGTTGAGAATATCCGAGTTTTCTGGCTTTTGGCTTGAACCCTGAATGTTGTGCACCAGACTGCTAGTAAGGCGTGGTTGTGATGTCACAAAAAAATGGAGGTTTGGTTGCCTCAAGAAGAACATATAGATACATCAACAGAGGTTACTGCACACTCCACAGAGAGGATAGAAGAATCTGTTGAAGGAAGCTGAGGAAAAGACAGAGTGGTTAGGAAAGGCCAGGAGAGCCTCAGGGAAGGAAAGGCCTGGAGGAGCTTCTAAACACAAGACAAGAGACCTGCTCATTTTGTTAACAAGGTTTTACCCAGCAAACCAAATGGTTACATAACTGGCAACTTCTGAAAACATGAAAACAGCCTAATAGGAAGGTAAATACAAAAACTAATGCACTCTTCTAGAAACTGAATAGTCTTTACTCAGCATGGCTATGGACAAATGATTAAAACTGACTGCTGCCATAATATAAACAATATTTTCTTAAATTTCTCGGAGTACTCTGGAATATTCACTTTTGTTTCTTTTAAAATCAGGGTCTGTGTTACAGAAACTTCCTCTCTTTTAGTCCAAAGTTAAGATCTGACAGGTCAAGGTAAGATTTTTCACAAATTCATATTACAGAAGCAAATCTGATCTTAATTTAGGAATTTTATCTTATCTTACAGCATCTTATCTCCAGTTAGGAAATCTTAACCTACTCGATTGTAGTCGGCAGTCAACTGTCATGTCTGTTTCCTAGTAATCGACCGTACACACACAGCTGAAACGTAAACACGTAATCAAAATAATGTTAAAAATGTAAGTTACAGCTACTGTTACTGATGTAAAAAAGGTCTAAACTAAAGTGTGATAAACTGAAAGTTGTGAATACTGTGACAGCGCCACCTGCTGTTTATCAGAGTGTCGCCGCGCCCCAGTTTCAGTCTCCATTTCCCAAACACTTTAGCTGTGTGCGCTAACGTTATTCCTCCTAATAAACAGACACACATTCAGCTCTGTCTCTTCATTATTCACCACCATCACTGTAATATTTTTATTAACATTAACCCCTGAAGGTAATGAGAGGGGATGGTGGAGTTCGTGTCTGCAGCATCTTTTTAAAACACAGAGTTAGAAAAGAAAAACATCTCACAGTGAAAGCAGCGTTTTACAGTATAAATAAATGTAGCGTCATTATGCTAGTAGTGAACTATGCTGCCTGACACAGCTGCCTAAAAACAATAGAAACGGATGCTGAAACAGAAGTTAGGACACTGTTGGGGTTGTGTTAAAGTTAGGACAGTATTTAGGAGATTTAGTCTAGTTAGGATGTTTGTATGATACTGTTTTCTTATGTGGAGTTAATGATGAGATTATGAAGTTAGGAACTGTTATTCTGTAATAGCTACCGTCCTAAATTCAGCTGTTATGGTTACTAAACACATCAGAGTTAGGACGATTCTGTATCACAGCCCCTGGTCTATAAAGCATGTACACTCTTAAAAAGATGGTTCTTCAAGAAAATGATTCTATATAGAAACAGGAACACTCAAAAAACCATTTGTATGATTAAAGGGTTCTTTGCATTGTGAAAGGGTCCTTGATGGAGAATGTGTTGTAGATGGTTCTATAAAGAACGTTTTTGAAAAGGGTTCTATGTAACACTAAAAGGGTTCTTCTGTTGTTATGATGTCAAGCTTGAACCCTTTTTGGTGCTATATAGAATCATCCACAACACATTCTCTATCAATCTGAAAAAAAAAACAAAAAAAAACAAACATTTCATCATGTAAAGAACCATTTAAGCATGCAAATTGTTGAGTGTTCATGATTCTCTATTAAAGAACCCTTGAAGAACCATCTTTTTCAAGAGTGCACAATACTTTTAGCACACTTTTCTGATGAACAAGGTAAAATATTTTGAGTGATGCTTGACCTGAGCTGTTATCTGCTGCACTCTGAGCCTTCATGTTGGTTGTGGAGGACTTCAGTCCAGCATAGTTTGTGGATTTCCCTGCTCAAAACATATGAATCAACTCAGACAGTCCCCAGGTGTTACCACATGAAGGGCCAACAAAGGTGTTAACATAAGTTTTAGGTTAACCAGCCAGATCATTCTCTGATACAACAGCAGGATGATGTTCCAGCATCCAACCCAGAAGATATATTTTTATATAACTGTATTGGTCGCTGATGACAACCTGAACACTAACAATTATCTGCAAGTAATAAGGACACATCCTGTGAAATTTCATGGCTGAAACAATACTGATAATTAAGGGGGAACTCAGAGTGGTTTGGTGTGAAATGGTTCAGATTTCTTTACAGTGGTGGTAATAGGAACCAGGGGTTGCCATGACTACAACACAAATATAGACATTTTATTTACTATCCAAAACCACCAGTGAACCTACACGTGTCTTCTGAGTTTTATATGGAATGTTGATGATGGGAAAATAGTGGAAAATCCAAAATAATACGTTTTCTGTGAGGACTATTTTGCCTCACAACGCCCTGCATGCATCCCTCCACTATGAAAGGATTAAAAGTTAAAAAGTTTAAAACAGTGTCTCAGACATCAGGCAGTGAATTCATAACCATTTCATGTAATAACTTTCTGTAAGGGGGCTTTTAGAGGTGGACATCTGGTTCCTATCACCACCACTGTGAACAATTCTGACTCGGTGGGTTTCTCTAGAACAGAGCATTTCACACTAAACCATTCTGAATGACTTAACAGAGGGTTTGAAAAATTGGTGGAGTTCCCCTTTATCACCTCATTTTGGCTCACAACACTACCAATCACTTTGATTTGATGAATCTTTTAACGTTCTATTCACTTTGTCACTCCCTCATGGACTGTTCTACTGAATTAGTCCCACAGGAAAAACATCTATTTAAAAAAAATGAAGATTTTAAATGAAGTATTCAGAGCTTAGATATTTATAGTGATTATATTCTGATCTATTTAAACTCAAGCCATTAACAGAGACAGTAATGAGCTAAGTTTTAATGTGCACTAGCAACTCTGAGTTCTGACTTTGTGTTTTCTTCATTAGTGTACGATCAGCATGGTGCAGCATCTGAGCAGAATAACACCCTCCTCTTTGTCTTGGAGCTTGAAGCTGGTAATTATTAGTATATTGTTGCTGCGAGTGGGCACGCTGAAATGGCAGATCCTCCTTAAGGCTGCTGATGTCTGTTTCAGAGATTTTAAGTGTGTGCATACAGAAAAAAGGTTGAAAAAAGGTTGGGAAACACTGTTTTAGATTGTACATGATCATTATTTATAGGGTTCTTACTGTTAGGAAACCCTAAATCCTAAATTTACACTTCTGAAAATAATACTTAGTAGTGGTGATCCCATTTCTTATTTTTCTCCCCTACCCCATGTTTTCGAGTGTCACCTTCCCCCTTGGAACTGAGTCATAAGGGGTAGTGGTTGAAATCTTCCCTACGAAATGGGACCCTCAAATAAAAGAACGTTACTTCATTAACAGGTTACTAGCGGTGCTCTGTAGGCGACCCTGCCAGTCTGCAGTGATAGCAGAGGAGGGTAAAGTTCAGCAACCTCACTGCTGGGCTTTAGTTACATTTAGGACATCATATGCCTTGAAAGAGGGGCAATTATTTATCATCACCCACCACTAATTCTTCAGTGATATGAAGCTGAAGTTACCAGCTTCTCATTCATTCCACCTTAAATGGAGCAGCAGTTATGTTCTGGAGCCTCAGGCATCAGAACTGTTGCACCATTTAAGGTGGAATGGGAAATTTAGCTAGTTAGCTAATGAGACATCAGCACTACTAGCGATTTTTATGCTAGTTATGAAGAAAGAAAATACACTGGTTATTGTATTTTTTTAACAGAGGAGATTCTCACATTTGTGGGTTTCTTTGGTATCTTGTTCAGCCATCTTGTCTGTTTCTCTTTTCTCATTAAACTTTTTGGTGTGTCTCTGAAAACTTCTGTTTGGAGGACCATGTAGCTCTAACACTTCGCCCTACCCCTCTATCTCAACAAGAATTGGGACACCCTACCCCTAGATGGGAATGTGCAAAACGGAGGGGCAGGGCTGAGTGGTAGGGGCAAGGGGTGAAATGGGATTGGGCCTTGGTGACGTACCATTTTCTCAACTTTACTCGTTGACAGGGACCATCTGAAAGCACCATTAGTGTGTTTGAGCAGGTAAAAACACCAAAACATGCTGAACTCTAGACCACCAGAACCAGAACTGGACACCCTTGGCCTATCGGTGTTCTAGCAACATTCATAATTATGGGTTACTCTAGAGAACACGACTAAACAGAGCTAGAACAGGCACTAACCTGGGCTTCACTGCAGACACCCTGGCCGAGCGAACGGAGGCCGAAGGTTGAGAGTCGGTCGGTTCCTCAAAGGCGTTCGTGGAAGAAGGTTCCTCAGAGAAGCTCAGTTCGAACGGGTTGGTGGAGAACGGGTCCTCAGATGGAAGTTCCTCTTGAGGTTCCTCGAGTTTTGTGGCTGAACTCACTTTACCACTCCTGGCTTTTGGAACTGGCCTCTGCTCCTGCTCTGCCTCCTTCGTCTCTCTCTCTTTCTTCTGCCGCTTTTCTTCCTCCTCTTTCATCTCCATGTTCCTTTTTTCTTCCTCCATCCTCAGCCTCTGCTTCTCCTTCCTCTCTTCTTCCTCACGCGCTCTCCTCTCCTCCTCCTCTTTCCTCTTTCTCTCGCTCTCCTCTTCCGCTTCTCGCCTTCGTTTCTCCGCCTCCTCAGCCACTCTTCGCCTCCTCTCTTCTTCCTCCCTCACCTTCTTCTCCTCTGCTAGCCTTCTCTCCATTTCCATCCTTCTTCTCTCCTCGTCCCTCAGCCTTTCCTCCTCCTCCGTCCTCTTCCTCTTCTCCTCAGCCAATCTTCTCTCCTCCTCAACCCTCTTCCTCTCTCTTTCCACCTCCTCCTCAAGTTTTCTCCTTTGTTCTTCTGCCTCTCTCTCCTTTCTTTTTCTTTCTTCCTCAATCTTTCTCCTCTGTTCTTCTTTCTCCCTCTCCATCCTCATCCTCTCTTTTTCCACCTCTATCTTTCTTTGCTCTTCCTCCTCTTTCTCCTTCCTTGTTCTTTCTTCAATCTTTCTCCTCTGTTCTTCTTTCTCCCTCTCCACCCTCATCCTCTCTTTCTCCTCCCCAATCTTTCTTTGCTCTTCCTCCTCTCTCTCCTTCCTTTTTCTTTCTTCCTCAATCTTTCTCCTCTGTTCTTCTTTCTCCCTCTCCACCCTCATCCTCTCTTTCTCCTCCTCAATCTTTCTTTGCTTTTCTTCCTCTCTCTCTTTTCTTTTTCTTTCCTCCTCAATCTTTATCCTCTGTTCTTCTTTCTCCCTCTCCATCCTCATTCTTTTTTTCTCTTCCATTATTTTTCTTTGTTCTTCCTCCTCTCTCTCCTTTCTTTTTCTTTCTTCTTCAATCTTTCTCCTCTCTTCTTCCACCTCCCTCTCGGCCCTCCTCCTCTCCTCCTCCAGCCGTTCTTTCTCTTCTTTCTCTCGTCTCAGTTCCTCCATTGACCCGTGTCCGGAGCTGGTCAGGCTGAGTGAAGACCCTTTAGTCTCGGGCTCCTCGCTGTAGACGTGGCTGCCGTTGATGCACACCGTCGGCGGGCTGCTCTGTTTGGAGACGAAGCCGCTCTGGGACACTTTACTGTCTGTGCTGCTGTTGCGTTTGTGTGTGAACAGCTTAAATTTCTTCTTCCCTTTAAAAGAAAAAGGTTCTGTTAAATAACTACCTAGATTTTATTTTTTTAAAGTGGTACCTTTCAGGGTACTAACACCATCACTGGGATGGAACCCTTAAGGAATAAGAACATGGTGGTGCTGTAAAACATCACAGTTCTATTTTTTTAAGCTGTACTGGCTCCACAGACCAACTGGTCATCAAATGGGGGCAGCAGTCCGAATGCAGACCCAGCAAAGCGTTGTTAGGTGTTGTTAGGTGGTTGTCCTTGTATCTCTTGTGGTTGCTAGGGAGTTACTAGGGTATTGTAGGTAGTTGCTGTTGCTAGGGAGCTGCTATGATAAATGTTGCCAAGTGATTGCTACAATATTGCTAGGTGGTTGCTCTGGTATCCCATATATATCCCATACATTGGTCCAGTTGGTTGTTATGGTGTTGAGAGGTGGTTGCTATATTGGTCTAGATGGTTGCTATGGTGTTACTAGATGGTTGCTAAATTGTATTAAGTGGTCACTATATTGGTCCAGTTGGTTGCTATGGTGTTGTTAGGTGGTTGTTAGGATGTTGCTAAGTAGCTGCTATAGGTGGTTGCTAAGTTTTTGCTTAGCAGTTTTTTATGGTTTCAAAGTTGTTTGCTATGGTGTTACTAGGTGGTTGCAATATTGGTCCAGCTGGTTGCTATGGTGTTGCTAGGTGGTTGCTAGGAGGTTGCTATATTGGTCCAGCTGGATGCTATGGTGTTACTAGGCGGTTGCTATGTTGTATTAGGTGGTTGCCATATTGGTCCAGCTGCTTGCTATGGTGTTGCTAGGTGGTTGCTATATTGTATTAGGTGGTTGCCATATTGGTCCAGTTGGTTTCTATGGTGTTGCTTGGAGACTGCTAGGTGGTTGCTAGGAGGTTGCTATTGTATTTGGTGGTTGCTCTATTGGTCCAGTTGGTTGCTATGGTGTTACTAGGTGGTTGCTAAGGTATTTGGTGGTTGCTATATTGTATAAGGTTGTTGCTATAGTGTATAAGGTTGTAGCTATATTGGTCCAGTTGGTTGCTAAGGTGTTGCTAGGTGGTTGCTAGGAGGTAGCTATATTGGTCCATTGGTATCTCTGGTGGTAGCTAGGGTGTTGTTTTACTGGGTGGTTGCCATGACATCCGAGGAGGTTGCTAGAGTGTTTCTAGGGTACTAGTCCAAAAGGAGTCTGAAAGCTTTTGGCCACCTTCCGTTGCTATGGAAGACTGGTTTTCACATTGCAGCTACACACTGGGCTGAGATTATTTGGACATATTCGGTATAAGTTTTTATTACCTGCTTGCTACATTAGTCTTAGACACTTGGCTGATAAAAAGATATTTGGGGTAAAAGGTCAATTTTTCACCACACAGTTGCTTTAAAAGATCTGATCATATATTGAAGAAAAATGATTCGTTTTTTCTAACCTTCTGGAGACTCGTTTGTCATGTTGAGGCCAGAGGAGCTGCTGGACGCGATGGCCGAATCTCTCTCGGGGAAAGGGCTGAGAGTGGACATGGACTGAGATGTGTTCCTCTGCAGACTGGATTTAGGGACAAACAGAGACTTCAGTTTGTTTTTCTTCTTCTTCTCTCCGGCCACCGGCTCCTCCTCTTCCTCCCCCTCGCTGTCAGTCATCACCTGAGTGACAGAGGGAATGATGGCGGAGGCTGAGTCAGACAGACCCTCCTTCTTCTTGCCCCGCAGTTTGTCCTTCAGCTTGCCGATTTTGGAGCGTGATTTGTCCTGGCTGGACAGGTCGAACATGCTAGCGGACATGCTGCCCTTCAGAAACTGGATGTCCAGTAGGATCTCTCCTCGGTCCTTCTCCGGCTTGCCTGGTTTTCCAAACAGTTTGAACCATCTGTAAATACATATATAAAAAAACATAACTACATATGTACACTATCGAATACCATGTGTTTTTCTTGTATGGGTCAGTTGTATTTGTTATTTTAACAGGTTTGTGCCAAACTACAAAACAAAAAATATATAAACACACCCATGTGTAAAAGACATAAATACATAGTGGTTATTAGAGGTCTATGCAGGACTGTTTTTTCAGTCCCACTCCCACCCACTCCTGCAAGATTTCATCCCGCTCCTGCCCACTCCTATAGAAAACTGGAATCACGCCATTTATTCCCATTAAACACAGAGTAGGAATTAAACAACAAAGCGGTTATTTTTGGTGTTTTGCTGGGCAGCTGTGGCCGTCAGACTGAAGGCTCCGCCATCTCTGTAACGTTTGACTCACACATGCTCTGCGTGGTGTCAGTGATGCAACTACAGCTCGGATGCGCTGGCCTTTTATACATACAGCATTTCAGCTGTGGAGCAGAGCAGTGAGAAACTTATACAGACATTCCTGTTTCCAGACTAACAAATGGTCAAATCAGTCACTCTGCTCAACAAAAATATAATTTAGAAAATTACACGGTATGTTTGTTTATCCTCAACAGCATTCCAACTTGTGATTAGGCAAAAGTTTCAAGCTTGGTAGACCAACTGGGAAGTCTGTCTGCAGCATGGAATGTTTAACTAATATTTAATCATGAATACATTTTTTTAAAAAGTATTTTTAAGTTTTTATATGGTTTTCTGTTTAATTGTCATTGATATTCATGGCTTATTTCAGTGAATTTTGCTGTGTGCGCCACGCAGAAAAAAAAATGGTGCTGGGTCTATTCTTTAAACGCTTCAGTACAACGAGGCGCTCTGCCGCTTCGCACGTGCAGCCTGTTTAAAAGCGCTGACCACTTAACAAAAGAGGGCAAAAAGAAAAGCAAAAATCTGCGTGTTGTTTATGTGATCTGTTGCTTTTCAGCTCTTTAGAATAACTTTATTCATTTTAACTGTTTTACTGTTATCATTTTATATTGTTTATATATGTGATTTAGTGATCGTTCTACTTTATTTAGGCTGTTCATTAATTTGTGTGATTTCTCTTCATGTGTGCTTCGCCCCGCTCCCACCTGCAGGTTACCCACCCGCTCCCACACACAACACTGAGAATTAGTTCCACACTGCAAGATATTGTGGCGGTTTATGTGGGAATCCACGGGAGTGCAGATCTCAACTGGTTATAATAGGTTAATAATATAATAGTTAATAATGTGTTGTCTTTAACTGGAACCAGAGAAGAGTTAAAGTCCCACAGAACAAAACACTCTGATTACTAAGTAGGTTACATTTGCTTGTGACCACAGCATACCTGCTGTATATATACCTGTACAATAATTTTCCAGCGCCAAATATAGAGGTTAAACTTTATCAGCTTTTGTCACTGCATAAAACTGCTGCATTAAAATAATCAATTTTGTACCAAATACAGCTGAGCAATACCACATATTTACTGTTATTGTGAAAAACCGCTACAACGTGCTTTTCTGAGTGTGCTGTGACAACATTAAAAAACACTGACCAACTGCTTGTTTCCTTCCAGAGCATAATTAGCCCTGTTTAACTGGATTTAGGTCAGTGATGTGTATGAATCACTGAATAAAAATCACTCTAATCTGTTAGAAATAAAGGTTCTGTTCAGGTACTTTATTCATTCATCAAGGTACAAACAATGTAAATGTGCCCTCAAAAGGTACAACAGTGGTTTTAAGGCCCAATTGTGAACCTTAAATAAGTTTATCCAGGTGAAATATTGTATTTCACATATTTTACATATTTGTACCTATTTGTAACAGAACAAAAAAATAAAAAAATGTAATTTCAATGGATTCAAAGGATTATGGTACAGTTATGTTCCCTAACTAAAGGTACTAGGATGTACCCTTGAGGGTCTCATTCCAATGTGAATCCCACAAGAAGGGTACTGCCCCAGCGACAGTTTACTATCTTTATTTCTGAGAGTGTACTCATTTTTTGACAGCAGTGTTTAAAATGCAGCACTGCTGGCTCCTTTTTCATATGTTCCAACTTATCAAATGCCAATAAAACGAAATATTGTGATACCTTGACATGCTAGTGAGCCGGTCTGACACTCCCGCATTAAAGCATGACAGTACACAGCAGAGTTAAACAGGCCCTACGGCAGATTTCTATAATTTAATAACAAACTCTCAAAGTCATTCAAGGTAAAAAGTTTCTTTTCTGAGCATTCAGTTCTCCTCCTTCAGCCCAGAGAGTGAAAAAGTCTGTAAGAGAGAGGAGAAGTCTCTGCTTTTAGATTCAGAGGAGTGTATCTGTGGGAATATATGTCAGAATTACAGCAAAGATCAACAGCAGAATCAGCCTGCCTTTATCAGTCTTGTACATTTGTGGTTTAGTTTGGGTTTAAAGTGCCAACAAGCAGTCCAGAGCTCGAAATGTAAATATTTACTTCCTTCTGCTGATCACACGTTCAATCAAAAATGATAAGAGGGTTTATTTTGACAGAATGAGGCCTGAATTACAAACCCAAACCAGAAACTGTAGAAACTGTAAGAACTAAAGTCCACAAAACAGATTCATAGGACTGTAAACATTCTTAAGTGATGACGAGACTCAGCACCAACCGCCTCGTGGGTCAAAGATAAACACGGAGATAAGAACACTGGGTGTAACGATGGACAACTACGGTATAATATCAATACTGTGATATATTCTGTCACGATGCTCTTTTGGTAAGTGTACTTGTTCGGTCAGTACTTCTATAAACAACTGCACAGATCACAAAAAAGGCAGATTTAGACTAATTATATAGAGCACACTCTTCAAAAAGATAGTTTACTAGACAAAAAGGCTCTATACAGAACCATGAACACTCAGAGAGCTCTTTGCATAATTAAAGGGTTTGTTGCATCATGAAAGGGTTCTTCTGTTGTTCTAAGTTTGACATTGTAATAATAGCAGAACCCTTTTTGGTGTTATATAGAACCATATACAACACATTCTCCATCAATGTGAAGAATGCTTTCATGATGCCTGTTTTTGAGGCAGACCATCAGTTAAACCCCACATTTTTCTTTAGAAATGTTGATGGAATATATTTCAACAAAAATGTGTCCGATTTACAAAACCAGAAGTGAGTTTTTGGATGAGGATTATGGTCTATGTAGATGAGCGAGCTAATGTTTATAAAAGTGTGACAATGTCAGTAAAAATGTAAATGTGTGTGCAGGAATATTTGATACAAAGAAGCTGCAGTTGTCTGTTTTTCTCAACACAGCCATCTTTATGGAGAGGTATGAACAGTTTTTCACAGCAGGCGGTTCTCACCCCTCCTCTTTCAACCCTCACTGCTCACTAACAGCTTCACAACATTTCACACAGAGAAATGACAGAGTCCTAGTTCTTGCTATGTAATTTTATTTTTATTGTTTATGATGAGATTTATGTGTTGTTTAAGTTATATATACACACACACACACACACACACACACACACACACACACACACATATATATATATATATATATATAATATATTATCATATACATATATACACATATACGTGTGTCATTATTGTCAGAAATTGTGTCACAATATGCTTTTCTGAACATATTGTGTATATCGTCAGTGCTTGTAGACACTGTTCAACTGCATGTTTCATTATAAGGAGAGCAAAATTAGTCCCGTTTAACTGGATTTAGTGACAAATACTGCATAAGAAAGTAGCACTTTTCTTTTTCTATGTTCCAACTGATCAGATGTCTAAAAAAATAAATATTGTGGCATATTGTGTTTCGTGAAAATTTCTTGAAGTATCGTGATACTATTTTTGGCCATATCGCCCAGCTCTAACTCAAAATGAAAGGTGTGATTATAATGGCACTATCAACTCAGAACAAGCAAACATTCTGACGCATACTGCATATCGTGAAAACATCTCTACGTTATCATGATATTATATTTCTTCTGTATCACCTGTCCATAGCTGTATGCTATCTTTCTGCAGGAGAAAACTTCTGAAGGATGAGGTGATAGCCATCTCTGTGGTTTCAGCTCAGACAAACAAGTGCTGCAGAATGATCTCATCTCCTGACCCACAGGAAACGTTCAGCTATCTCTGAAACAGAGCGGTCAGCTGATTTTCTCCAGGAAATGAATGTGAGTGAGTCTGGTCAGGCTGGAGGGCCTTCAGGTACAGAAACACACAGCACAAACCACTACAAAACAACCAGTATTCATACTGCACCAAAGGGAAGGTGTTCACAGTTTTTCATCATCCTAAAGACATTCTGATCTAAAGCTTACGGTTTAGAGTTGTTTCTAAAGTGCACCTGGAGCCGCATTACAGATTCATCTTAACTCTCAAATCTGATGTGTTTAGCCTCCATGACGACTTCAGTACAGACTGAATTTAGGACGGTAGCTATTACAGAATAGCAGTTCCTAACTTCATAATCTCATCATTAACTCCAGATAAGAAAACAGTTTTACACAAACATCCTCACTAGTCTAAATCTCCTAAATACTGTCCTAACTTTAGGATAAACCCCAACAGTGTCCTAACTTCTGTTTAAGGGTCCGTTTCTATCGTTTTTATGCAGCTGTGTCAGGCAGCATAGTTCACTACTAGCATAATGATGTTACATTTATTTATACTGTAAAACGCTGCTTTCACTGTGAGATGTTTTTCTTTTCTAACTCTGTGTTTTAAAAATCTCAGACTCTGCAGACACGAACTTCATGTGTTAATGTTGATAAAATATTACAGTGATGGTGGTGAATAACGAGGAGACAGAGCTGAATGTGTGTCTGTTTATTAGGAGGAATAACGTTAGCACGCACAGCTAAAGCGTTTGGGAAATTAAATTGAAACTGGGGCGCGGCGACACTCTGATAAACAGCAGGGGGCGCTCTCAGTATTCACAACTTTCAGTTTTATCACGTTTTAGTTTTGTTTAGACCTTTTTTACATCAGTAACA